TAAATCCGACCCGAGCAGGAAAACGGGGAAAGGGCGAGTGTCACCCGCCAGGCACCGGCCCGGCCGCCGGTGATGATGCACGGCGGGGCCGGGCTTTGGCCTCCCCTCCCGGGCCACCAAATAACGCGAGGGACGGCAGCTCCGTGCGGCGGTTGCCAAAGGTTTGCGGCTTCTCTCCAGCTTCTTTGCATATTTAAAAAAAAATAATATATATATATATATATATACTCTGCAGTTATAGCATATAAAGATTTTTTCCCCCGGGTTTTGTTTTCTCTCAGTCCCTTTTAAATGAAACACCACCATGGAAGTCTCTATACAACATAATTAGCATTTTATTTGACCAATAGGCTGTGATCCCCCATTTCTGTAACAAAATGCAAGTACCAGTGATGCTGTTCCCGGGCAGGTATCACAATCCTTCCGTACCGCACTATTAAACACACTCATCAGCCTTCCACATCCTCACAGGCCCCTAAGTATCCATTAAGATGCTTAAGATTTTTGTCAGTGATACCTTTCTAAACCTCGGGTTGTAATATTTGAACAGAAAGGATCAATCCACATTGTTTGCCACTCCTTTACCCCCCGACAGGTATAAGCACACACCTACAGCTGGGCAGAAGTTTTTCAAGTAGAAAGTGACATTTTAGAAATTAAACCACAGAACTTCAAAGGAAGATGCAATTTCCTGCCCAAACTGTATCTTCCCTGTATCGAGTGCAGCCGGTAAATCCCCTCTCCCCGGGTTCCAAGCAAGGCCTAAGGCTGCTGTGCACGGAGGAGGCTGTTGCCCAGCGCCGTACCAGAGCCAGAGGGGCACGGCTGCAGGAGTTTGTCACCCAAGGACATCACTCCCCAAATCCCTCTTTCACTGCAACTGTCTGTAAGAGACATCACGGCCCAGAGAAGCAAATGTTTGTGAAATCTTTAACAACCAAATCCACAATCAAATTAGTGTTTTAAAGATAAACCCAAAGCAGAGTACAAAAATAACATAGTGGGTATTTTTTTTTCCTTTTTCTTTAATTTACAGACTGTAGGTGAGTTACCATTGAGGTCAAGGAAAACCAGGAATTCCTTAGCTTTCCTTAGCTTTCCCTTTTTCTTTAATTTACAGACTGTAGGTGAGTTACCATTGAGGTCAAGGAAACCAGGAATTTCTTAGCTTTACCATAATGAAACCAAATAGAAACACTTTCTTACTGGCCTTTTAAAGAAAAATAAGCTGATACTGCTTTACAGAAAAATACCACTAATCCTAGCTTGAGGTAAAAAAAAAAAAAAAGTAACAGCTTTGGTACTAATTCTGTGCTTCTGCTGTCGTCATTCAAAATGCTTTTACATTTCACATTAGCATATTAATGCAAGTTTTTTTTTTTAAAGCACTACAGTCACTGTAGAGCAATCCCTGCACAACTTTAGCATCTGGGTTTCCTACAGAATTGCTGGAATGCAGCACGAGCTGACATCTTGTGTGCTGTTCCCTTGGATGAGCAATTTTCATACTGAAAAGCTGTGCCAATCTCACAACTTATTCCCCACGGATACAATAGCCAGAGCTGCACTGACAAACAGAGTCACAGTACAGATCAAAGTTCTAAATTAGGAATGTGTTGAGATTTGCACTTAAAGGCATCACTAAAATCCTTCTGTTTCACATTTTGATGATTATGCTTATATTTATTATCCAAGTGATTCTTCAAAAGACATGACAGTTTTGGATATTTCTGTAACTCTGCACAAATCATATATAAAATATTTTCATTTTCCCTCATATTTCTTTATAACCAGAATGAAAAACAGATAACTACATGAAAATTGAAACAATTGCAGAAACACTAAAACATTGAGGTCACGTTAGGTACACAAATTAAGCATACCTACTTCATTCTTTGTCTTGGGAATGCTGGACTGAATTCATTTCAATTTCAGAACTCAAACAAACAAAAAAAACCAACCACAAAAAAAGAGTGTGAGAAACACCGACTCACGTCTTAGAATTTAAGGAGGACAAAGTCACCGAAGCAAAGGTTAAAAAAATAATAATTTATTAATACGAAACAGCGCTGAATCGGGTGCACCAAAAATAGATGCACGATGATCTTTTAGCTTTCAGGTATTTTATACCTTTATCCCGGCTGCTTGAGTTTCTGTCTCCCTTCTCATGGGCTGAGAAGTTGGAGCTCACATTCTTCCCGACCGCTTGACCTATTACAGGTTTATTTTGTTCTTTTTCCCATATAAGGCACACACACCCCCCTTCTACGAAATTATTATCCTAAACACGCCTTTGATTAGTTGATTAAGGTACACGTTATTTCAGAGTCTTTGCTACCATCTACTTGGCAGATTTACCAGACTGGTTTCTTTGGCCTTATTGATAAACCCCTACCCTTTGGGTTTTTGTGTTGAAGGCCATGTTCCAGTTTGTTTCTCTTCACCTAGATAACGCTCTGTGAACAAGGATCCTTTGACAGACCAAGGGCATTTCTGGGGATTAACTGGATACAATTTATTAGACTCTACTATTACTAGGGTTTCTTTGTTAGTAATATGACACTAACAATTATACATCAATTAGCTGAAGCAAAACTTAGCTTATTTCCCACAAGAGCAAAAACTTGTACAAACTGAATAGCAAGGAATCAATGTTTCAATGCATGGTGTATGATTATACTTGTGTAATCATTCGTTAATTAGATGTCCCATTTATTTTATTGCCAAGAGCAATTTCTGCTCTCTATTAGCTATTTCTGCCATTTGCCCCCCAGAGCATCAGATCAATTACCAACAGCACCCACGCCTGACAACCTGAGAAAAGCAAGCACCATCCTCTTTTAATCTTCCCCTGGAGAAGTAACAGTTGGTACCTTTGCAACGGCTACTTCCAAAAAAACCTCACAAAATAAAAGCTTTCCTATGTTGACAGTAGGTAGCACTTAAGAGCGTAACTTGCTTTATTGCCTCTCTGGATGTATTTGGCCTCCACTGCCTCATTTAAGAGTTATACCTGCACCAACAATGAAATAGAAAACTTAAGTATTTCTCTATGAAAACAGTAAACTGCAAACAACTTAACAAGCTTAAAGGTTATGCATAGGTCTGACAAGATGTTGCAAGCTGTAAACACCTCCTCAAGTCAGTGAGAGCATACGCCGCTCAACAGCTGTCAGAATCAGGCAATAAATCTGAGTTACAGCTGGTAAGCATGGATTCCATGAAATTAGTGCTCCCCAGGGTTTATACACGCCGTTCCCACAGAGGTCAATGGGGCACCACACCGAGCTCAACGGGATGAGCTCATTTCTAACGGGGACTCGCAGCTAATTCGGCCCAGCCCAAAACAACACTGGGTCGGTGATGGTTTCCAAACGTTTAGAAATCAAGCACACTAGGAATTTTACCCTGGCACGCTAATAAGATCACATGCTTATTGCACAGCTGAAATGTTAAGTTTAAGACCTCAGGGAAAAAAAAAAAAAAAGCATAAGGAGCTAGAAAAGAGTATTAAGAAAGTGGTCTGAAAATAGGGAAAAGGAGCAGAAATATAGGTAGCATCAAACTAATGCAAAATAAAGGCCAGTTCTGTTATATCTGCATGTTCTTGTTTTTAGATCAATGACTTAAAAGTTACAGGTGTATTTACTATACAACACCTTACAACAATCTATTTTTATATTATTGAGCAAAAAGTCTACCAATAGTCAATTTCACATTCCTGAATGTTTCTTCTGGCAAATAGTTTTTGTTTCTGCAGCAACATGTTTTGGAATTCGCACTGTTCTTCAAGTCCAAGATCAGGCTTTTAAAACATGTTTCTTCTTCCTTTTTTTAATTGGTAGGCATAATGCCATTTACCTACTTCAAAGTGCTGGTGTAAAATCCCCAGATGATTGTGGAGAAGTGGTGCAAGAACCATTAATCAATACCAGAAGCATACAAGGATTCTTGCCATATTCCAGTTTGGGCAAGTGCTTGATTATGCGCATGTGTGTATTTCCCACAGTTGAAATAATTTCTAATTTCATAATTAAATTAAGTCATATCAGGTTATCCTACCAGTCTTTGCAGAACTGGGGAACCAGACAATTGATGGTATTTTTGCAAAGAGTAACATAAGAATAAAGCAGAGTGATATGCTGTGTGGTTTATATTGAGTGGAGGGAACAGATGAGTTTCTTATTTCACTCTACTCCAGACACAAGAAGTCTTTTGTCTTGTTTCACTCAAAATGGCTTAACATTTGGTTTCCAGAGAAACTGGTTGCTTATAAAAGCTGACTGATGACTGCTTATACATAAATTTCTTCCCAGAAGACTCAGTCAGCTGCTTGTTTGGGTTGAGAACACGTGATACTTATTACTTCCCATTTCTCATCCAAATCCAGCAGCTGGTACCTCATGACTCACAAACATGCCAATTCATTCTTGCAGTTCCTCATGGTCTTTTCCTATTAAGATAGTTACACAGAAATTGCAGATCGGTTTGTATTTTCTAGTATTTAAGTCCACACCATGGGGTCTGAGGGGTTTTCTCCCCTGTCTTCAAATAGTTCACTTTGGGCTGTTATGAAAAACACCATCTGATCAAAAACTCAGTTACCGTTCACCAACAACGAAGTTCAGGACCAGCTGAACAAACCTGTACCATGCTATGGCCTTGAGCAAACCCTCTAGAATATCTGGATTCATATTAGGAAAAAAGCCAAAAATTGAGTATGTCATTCAGGAAGGACCACATTCCTGTGCAACCAAGAGAGGACCAAATATCATTTATAGATGAAGCCAGGCGTTGGCTTATATAAAGGGAATTTAAGCAGTTAAGCTAAACTACAAATGTCTGCATTTTACCCATTTTGTCCCATAAGTGACATAAGCAGTTGCTCTAATGTATCGAGCAGGAACAGCTTTCACATGTGAATAATGTTTAACTGAGCTAGAAACACAGAAGATTTTTTAAATGTAACCTAGTGTCCATAACAAGAGACTCACTCAGTACTTTAAGGCAATTAGAACCTTTCCTCCTCAAACAGATTTTCCAAACCCAAGCCTTCAGTTGACATCCAATTCATAAAAAATCATTACATCAATGTTAAACCTGTAAGATTATCACTGTTATTTCTGCTTTGCAATTTCCACCAGTTTTGAACAATGTCACTGTGGGAAACGAGCTAAGTTTTGCTTCAGCTAATTGATGTATCATTGTTAGTGTGATAGTACTAACAAAGAAGCTTTAGTAGTAGTAATAAAAATTAACAAATTGTATCTAACTAATCCCTACAGATGTTCTTGGTCCGTTGAAATGTCCTTGTTCTCAGAGTGTTATCTAGGTGAAGAGAAACAGACTGGAACGTGTCCTTCAACATAGGGACCAAGAAGATAGAAAAGTATCAATAAGACTAAAAGAACAAGGCTTGGACAGTGAATCTGCCAGGTGGACAGTAAAGGCTGCCAAGTAGGCCCGCTCACAGGGAAAAAGGGGGGGGGCAGCTGATGAAGACGAGGATGCGACCACCTGATGAAGAAAATGATATGTTCAAGATAAAATTTCGTAGAATAGGTGTGTATATGCCTTATACGGTAGAAAAAGATATAGGCTAAACCTGTGATAGGTTAGGCGGTCGGGAAGAATGTGAGCTCCAACTTCTCAGCCAATGAGAAGGAGAGACAGAAGTTTAAGCGGCCGGGATAAGGTATAAATATACAAAAATCGAAAAAGTGCGCGTGCATCTATTTTTGGTGCACCCGATTCAGCGCTGTTTCGTATTAATAAATTTTTAAACTTTTGCTTGGGTGACTTTGTCCTCTTTAAATTCTAGGATGTGAGTCGGTGTTTCTCACAGCATTCATTTTTTTTCAGGATTCCGTTCACACCCCGTACAGAGCCGCAACGGCTTTTTAGCACAATCAAGGTCAAAGCAACAGGTCTCCTGTTGTCTGCTGTCTTGAGACAACTTTGCTACACCAAGAAATCACTGACCTCCCCCTGCTGCAGCCTCCTGCTCGTACCACACCGACAAGGTGCTCACGAGTGATAGCAGCAGCCGCTGGCCCAAGTGTGAGGTACGCACCAGCTGCTGTTGAGAACCCAAAGGCACTGTGACCTTCCACACACCCAGCCTCCCCCTACAACGTTTCACCTCTCTCCTCTACCAACACATGAGCTTTTCTCCTGTTTTATAATACAGTTATACCAGACAACCTAAAGAAACGTCGACGCTCTTACTTAGGCCGCACCTCCAGGTCTTGCCGCCATCTTGAATGCGGGCAGGACGCCGCCATCTTGGGTGAGGCCCTTCCTGTCCCACTCGCACATAAAGCCGAGGGGCGGCGGGGCGGGTTATTTACCCGTTTCTCTGCCCTCACCCAAAATGGCTGCCGGAGCATCCGCTCTTCCTTTAGCTGGGCGTCGCGCCGGCGCACCCCAGTGGCCGCTCGGGTCTGGGGTTTGCGGGAAGCGGAGACGCGGGGCTGTCTCGTCCCACTCACAGCGCGTCCGTACGGGTGTGCTGCTTCGCGCCCGGGCAGGTACCGGGGTGGGAAGGAGCCGGGGGGAGGCTGAAGGGGCGCTGGGACGGGCTGAGGCGCAGGCCGCCGGCGGGGTCTGTCAGGGGGAAGGTGCGGTGAAGGGGCTGCAATGGAGGGCCCAGCCGCGCCGCCCCTCAGGGGCCCGCCGGCCTCTCGGGAGCGCCTGAGGAGCCGGTGTGTCGGGCGGGGAACCGCCGGGGCTGAGACCCGGCTCTGCCCGCGGGTTGTTCGGCGTTGGCGGCGGCTGTAGCCCGTTTCCTCCGGGGGGACGGAGGGTGAGGGGGGAGCGGTTGGTGCCGGGGCTTCACCGAGGGAGGCGGGTGTGGGATGAGGGGAAAAGGAAACTCAGCCCGGGGCATGGCCCTGGCTCGGGCGGTAGTTGTAGTGAAGCTTCGGGGTGCTCGTTTGAGGGGAGCTCACCCTCAGTCCAGAGCTTGGAGGAAGTGTAATAGTGTTTATTTCGGTGCTGAATCATAGATAGAATGGTTTGGGTGGGAAGGGACCTTAGAGACCATCCATTTCCAACCCCTGCCCTGGGCAGGGACACATCCCACCAGACCACGCTGCTCAAAGTCCTGTTCAACCGGGTCTTGGTTTAATGTCAAACCCAACAAATTCAAGCAAAGTTAGCAGTGCAAAGGTACATTTCTGTAATCGTGAAATTGTCATAGTAAGACTGTTGAATTGGCATGAATGCACGTTTATGGCTTATTTTATTAAGCGTAACCTTAAGAAACTGCTTTGGTGCATTTTATTGTCTGAGGCACCTGTCTCACAAGCAGCCACCATTGCCTTTGAGTGTCCAGCAGTAGGCAGACACTGGCATTTGCATGGTTGGAGTCCACTGAATGAATGTGGTGTGTGAATATCAAAATTAATATTAATGGATTTAACTGGTACATACATAAATTGTGTTCTAAGTAGGGTGCGTCGTTTGTGAAATATGGCCGGGTTTCTGCAGTGATCTTTATGTATTTGATAACTTGTTGATATTTTTTTAGGTTGCAGGCAGGAGAAGGCTTTGTATGTGCTGAAATATCTTCCGCTCTATTGAGAGCAACTCACAAGAGTCATTTGAAAATTAAAATTTGATGCTTTACATCCGGAGGAGACGGAGTGTGCCTTCTGCGTAAGTGGTTTTGCCTCTTGGTTTCAGATTCTCTCAGATGTGTTGCTAAGCGATTAAAATCAAAGTCATATGTGCTTTTTATTTGACTGAAAAGACTTGGCTAAATTTGCTTCATTAACTGAAAAAAAAAAAAAAAAAAATTCCCCTGGAGCTTTATATCTAAACTAGCCAGTCAGAGCAGAATTGCAGGAGTGTCATGTAGTATCTAAGAACAGCAAGATGACTGAAGGACTAAAAATCGCATATTTTTCTTCTGTAATAACCTGGATGTGCTCAGGCTTGCTCTCTTAAGTGGTTTTTCATGGTTATTCAAAAACCCCTTGGATGTTGGGATTCTTCCGGAAGGCTGTGATCATGGGCAGCCAACACCATCTTAATGCCAGCCTCCAATGAGCTGGCTCTGTGGGCAGCAGAGTTGGCTATTTAATCATTAAAGCACCAAGTCAATAGGAGGAGTTGGTGTTCATTGTCTACCGGCAGTAAACGAGCTTTTTAATGCTCCTGCAGCTCCCAGAAAGCTTCACAGGCCTTGAGCTTCATCACATTGATCAGAAGAGTTCCTTTTTAGGAATGCCTTTTGAAGAAGTGTGCTTGAAACCCCCTACCTGAAGTGATAGGAAGGTTGTAACACAAAAGAGTGATACAGAAGATGTCCTTGATTAAGGCCAAGGTACACCCTCCTCACACTGTGACACATGCTTTCATTTCCCAGTTACTTTTACTGAATCATGGTCTTCATAAGAACAATGTGCATCTCTACCAGTTGGCACAGGAGAAGCAGTAAGCAGCCTGTCCCTTTGCTAGTGACAATTCTGAAAGGTCAGCTGGGTCCTCTTATGTCTCTGGCATCTTGTGCAAATCAGTCTTTGTGCTGAGTGTTGGGATACACTCGGTTCCTGCGCTGGAGCTCACAATCATGCCGGAACTCAAACAGTTTTATGCTGGAAATAGTAAAAACTTGCTGAAAATGCTGCATGGGATTGCCCAGTTCTTAGTGTTTTTAATTAGTACCTGTCTTTTTAATCTCTACCATTACTTTCTGACTAGGCTGAAGGCACAGTCTTGTTGGGGCGAGACAAATGTACTTGTTGGAAGCTCCTGGTTTTATTATTGAGTTGGCTTGAAAGACAGGAAAGCCATGTATGTTGTGTGGCAGTGGCACTGCTGGGCTGAGGCTGTCACCCTGCCTGGATGAGAGACCCCAGCCCTGCATTGCAGAAGGCTGCCTTGTCCTTCTGCCAGGCTGGTCCCTCACAGCAGCCTTTGCAGAGAGCAGGAAAATGCTGTCCAAGCACTTTCCATTGCTCTTCCTGTTTTATTTGCTTGAAGTGTGTATGAATTAGTGACAGCATTGTTCCACGTTCTTGTTTCTCATGTTTTCCTCTGGAATCTGGTTGTGATAGAAAGGAAGAGGCTTTTACCCCCAAAATGAGAAGTTTCTCGAAGAGTTCAGATTCCTGTTGTTGTTGTGCAAGTCTCCACATGGCAGTTTTTTGAAGTGTGCATATTGCTCTCTCTGTGAAAGAAGACTGTATTCTTACCCTGGACGTTTTTTGTAGTCTAGCTTAAGATTTCATAAGTCCTGACAAATGCTAGGAAGGGAGACCGTTGGAGTCAGTAATGATTTTAGATTCTTAATTATCTTTTTTTTTTCTTGTCAGTGAGGTTTCATGAGTCAGACTGGGCTGTTGGCAGTTTGTTCTGAAGATGTACATGTTGGTTGAAAACCGCACGAGTTCCTATCTTCATCTGAAGAGGTCACCTGGCATCCGATCTTGGTCTCTCTTTGTTGGTAAGACCAGAATCTTACTTGGTTTATTTCAGAGGTTGTTTTAAAGGAAGGGGGTCACAGAATAAATTCCCGAAAGAACCTCTAATAAGAGATGCCTGTCTTTTAGGCATTTTTCTTTCAAGAACCTCTCCTTTAGTATAGCCAGTTAATGAGCCTCAAGTCTCCTCAGTGTGAAGGAGGAGGTAACTGTTCTGTCTTGTAGTCTGCAGGGCCTCAGAGGCTCACAGGCAGAATTGGAAGGGAGTCCTGAAAGATGAAGAAAAGAAAGTATATTATATGCCATACAGCAATATAAATGTGAGGCTTCTGAAGGGGATGCATAGTGAAGTTGAAAACCATCAAAGTTTTCAGAAATGGAAAAATCTGCAGCGGAGCGGTGGTGGGGTTAGATGTGGCGTGTGGTTGACAGCGAGCTGTTACCGGCACTGTGTGTATGAAATAGGAAGTCATACAGGATGTTCCAAAAGGCATCTTTTTTTTTTTTTAAATGCTACTGAATATGCATAAAAAATACAGGGAGCGGTGGTACTTAGGACCACACTGAGAGAGCTGGTGGGGGAAAGGTGGCAGATCCTGCTTTCCAGCTGAGTAGAGCCCGTTGTAGCAACCATAATGGTTGCTGCATTGCTTTTGGTGATGTCTTGTCACACTCTCAATGAGACCAGGCCTTTGCAGTCAGAGTCTCTGGGGCAAGAGGCGTTTTTCCACTGCTTCCTCCTCAACGGGAGGACACAGCTGTATTGCAGAAGTGTTCTTCTGGCTCCACAGAGCACTTGGAGAGAAGAATAACCGTTGTAGTGTTCACGTTAACACACTCAAAGCGCGCGAAAGGAAGTATGATGTAACGGTGAGATTGAGAGTCCCTCTGAAGTTCCGGTCCTGATTCTGTCACAACCTTTTATTTCTAACCTCAGCCCCCGTGCTCTTTAGTGTCTTTGCAGGATGGGAGGGTTTTTATACTGAATTCAGAGTAAAATAACTGACTCTCTCATGTAGTGATCAGTGTCGCAATCACATTTGTCCCTTTTTTTTGAAAAATGATTAACTTGTGGATATTAATGTTTTTCATCAGGGAATTTTAGATGGTTTGAGCTGCTTGTATGTCTTAATTCTCTCCCCTCTCATCCTAGGAATAGCCTCCATAGGTTTGGCTGCTGCTTATTACAGTGCAGGTAATGGCCTATCATTTTTTTTTTTTTTGAAGAACTGTTTATTTCCTGTTCACCATGTTGTTCATGTTGATGACTCCTCTCTGCAGCTTCCATCTGGCCTTAAAGGCAGTGTAGGTACCGAGCAACTTTGTGGTGTGAATATTGAAATCCAATAATGATTGTTGCCCGTGTATGACTTCCTGTGCTTTAATGCTCTATTTCTTACTCGGCCTCCCTTTCCATTTGCAAGAGTATTTTTAATACTGATATTTAGTGCTCTGTGGCATTTCATACTTTCAGAGTGTTTTATAAATGTGATTAGCTGGTCCTCACAGCTCTCCTGGGAAGACACATGATGATTGTTTGCTGCCATAATGAAATGATTACCTTGCCTTTGATGGAAGTGCTCTGTTTCTCGGGAAACTGTTAAACCATCACTGGCAGTGATTACTCATAAAACCACCTTTAGAGAAGAGACAGCTACTGCTGCTTCCTGCAACAGAGCAGATGGCAACAAATGCCAGGTGTCCTTCTGTCTGTGGAGTTTGTCCTGCAGGCTGCCCTGTGATTCTCATGCTGCATCTTATTAACATCAAATTTTAAAACTTAATAGTATGTAGGAATATACTACCAATATAATCAATGTATTTTTATTTCAAGAGCGAAGTCTAGTGAAAGCTGCTGGAGACACCAGCCATATCTGCCTTTTTTTTCCTTAAGACACTACAACAAAGTTTCCTGAAACAACACTGAGCACAGTTCTAATCTGCTTCCAGTAAAAGTCTGAGTAAGCACATTGCTTAGGCTGCTGAATGTAAACATTTCCAGGACATAAAATGCAAATGTTTGTTTGTCAAGAGAGCCAACTGCTTCCTTTTATGAAGCAGCATGTTTGCTTCAGTGAATTTCCCTTGTCCCTTACTCTTGTCCTCTGCAGCACAAATATTTGGTGGTTGGGGGCAGGTTGCAAGTTTTGTGGATGCCTTTTAAGATGCTTTTGCTTTTAGGGAAGAGAAAGATGTAGTGATGTTAGAACCTTGCCAATAATACATATGCTTATAATTCTGCATGGTTTGGGGCCCAGTGTAGATGGAGTCTTTGAAAAATACATGAAGAGTTTCTGTATTTTTATCCTGGGAGAGAGCTGTAAAATAGCCTGTATTACAATTAAAGGTAAAAATTGCATCAGAGAAATCTTTATTCCTTTTGTTGCCTTTAAAGGGAGCATGTTGCTTTAAAAACTAACTGCCTGAATACTAAAGAAGGAAAAAACCCTCTAAATTTGTGCCTTTTTTTTTCTTTGCATTGTTCAGACAGCTTGGCATGGAAGCTCTTCTATATGGCTGGGTGTTTCTTTGTGGCAGCACAGAATCTGGAGCAGTGGGAGGTGAGATGCTGAACTTGGGGAAATGAGGTCGTGCGAGTTTAGAAACAGTTGGCAGATGCTGATTCCAGCAGCCCCACATGCTTGTTCAGCCCAAACAGACAAGTTATGTTCTTGGTTTTGAGGAAACCCTTTGGGGTTGCTTTATGAGAACTAGAATTAGGGTAATAATTCTTTGACTCCACAAGCATTAAAATGTGAAGCTAAATATAAGAGTGTCCTTTAAGGGGACACTTGCCCCAAACTGTTTTGTGACCTTTTGTTCCTCTTGTATAAAAGAGGGAGAAAGAATAGCACATTCAGCTGCTGCAACATGATTTTGTACTTACTGTGCCAGCTCATGACAGAACGACCATTAAATGGGGTAGCTCTGACCTTCCAGCCTCCTCAGCTCGTTTTCCACTGGGAAAAGTGGTATTTGTGAAGCTGGTTTATAATCTTGTGGGTGTTGATTTGTTGGGAGCTGGGCTGAGTGCAGTAACCTGCTATCTACCTTACTGACCTGAGTTCTTATAGAATAAGCAACCCACACGTATGAGACATCCTCTTTTCATCCACTGTCAGGGTATTTTAAACCTAATGTAAGCCTGGCCCATACAGCACAACGTTGGAATTTTGGTGGAATTAGCGACTGTGTTAGTGAAAAGTGTACCTAGAACTTCACTACATGCTTATACTGTAGGCCAAATGTGTACACCAAAAGTGAAAATAAAGGAGCTCCAAGTTCATGTTCCAATTTGATGCCAGGCAAAGTTTTCCTACATGAGGAATGTGACAAGAGGGGCAATGAAACCAGCTGTAACTTCTGTCTAGAAATAACACAGGAATTATGGTAAAGTCTGTTAAAGCCAAGAGCAAGATTGTGGTTTTTCACAGTCTAATAATAGAGGAATGTCCCTAAAATAGCTGCATTTCTCTGTGTTAACAAGATTATTTTGCCATGTAACCGTTTTTATGTTAGGTGTTTTTATGAAAACCTTGATTTTTATTTTTCAATTTTTGCAGGAAGCTGTATTTGATAAGAACAAGGGAACAGTCTGCCTAAAAACATTCAACCTTTACAAAAAAATACTGACCTTCTCAAAAGGAGGCAATGAACAAGGTGAGAGAGCAGTGTCTGTGGTAGTAAATGTGGTGAGCGGACAGAAGAAACGCGTACCTGTCCATTGAATAAGCTGCTTTGGAGTTGTGTACTCAAATTAGTCACATCTGTTTCCAGATCACTTTTCTTCCCAAGCAGCAGACATAATAATCTGTCTCTCGGGACCCAAATGCTTTTTAGGTTTTCAGGTTAGAGTGCCAAATGCATCTTGTTAGTTGTTTTAATCCAAGGTAATGAGGCTTACACATTGCTTGCCATAATAGTCTTAACCCTTCCTTTGGGATGTTAATGTGCAGCTCTGTATTTCCCTTGGTGAGCTGGCTTTGCAGGTGGGACTGATGAAAAACTTAAAATTTTTTTGATTCAGGAGTTGAGATTTCTATATTCTAATGTGGTTTTGGTAGCTGGCAAATCTTTAGATATATGCAAGCAGGCATGTTATATCTTGCAGATATATAACATGCATTTAAACCAGCATATTCAGTAGGCTCATTAATGCAGTATCTCATGTTTTCTGAGTTCCTGTGGGAGTGATGGAAGTTGAGGAAGTTGGCCGAGTCGCTGTGAGACAGGAGCTCCATTGCCAACTGAAGTAGGAGCCTCTTCAACGTCAGATTTTTTTATTCTACTTTCTAGTCTAAATCAAACCAACTCTCAAGATGCTTAAAACACTGACAGAATTTGGAATGCCCGAAGTTGAATTGTTTCTTTTAAACAGTCCGTTTTGAAGACGGAAGATAAGAGATGTGGAGAGAAGGATGTTTAATGTTTCTGAGCTTTCTTTTAGGGTATGTTGATACGTTGGGGAGCTGAGCACATCTCCTCCTGAGAGATTATTTGGTAATATCTGTTTCAAGTACCATTATTGTGGGCACCCGGAGATCAGCAGATGCTCTGAACAGTTAAATCTTTCAGTATTTGCTCAATCTCCTTAAACTCAGGAGCAGAGTCCCAGCTGGGGAAGTCACTAGTATCGGTGCTGAGCGTTTACTGTCACACTAATAGACTGCTTTGTTTTCCACATGTTTACAGTAGTGGCTCTGCTGCACGAGATCCGAGATGTGAACGTGGAAGAGGAGGTTGTGCGGTATTTTGGGAAGGGTTACCTGGTTGTGCTACGATTTGCCACTGGATTTTCACACCCGCTGACTCAGAGTGCAGTGCTGGGCTGTAGAAGGTGTGGTGTAGACTTTGTTTTTTTTTAAATTAGAATGTGTGAGGTGGGAAATACCAATCACATGGGTCAGTAATTGCCAACTATTGAGACTCAGCTCCGTTTTCATAGTTGCTGATATAACCTTGTGTTATTCAGCTTAACTTTTTAAAACCCTTTAATGCTTTCAGTTGCAGGCATTTGGGTAACACTGTCTCCCATCAGAAGATCATATATAGATATTGAAGATCCCTTTAGTGCTGCACATCCTCTGCAAATCCTAGTTACCTTCACTAGCTCACTGTGCAGTGGCAGAGGGGATTAATTCTGTTTTGCAAACATTCAGTGTATTTATTCTTTAACAGGATTTATTTTAAGCATGGATAATAAGGAATCTTGCAGCAGGGACTGTGGGAAAAGGATTGATTTGTTGTGATGTGGAAGCAATGTCTTGGCTTGGTGTGACCTTCACAAGTTGGGTGCTGTCACTTGTGCTCTATGCAGTGTGTTGACTCACCCTTCAAGCATTTATTCTCAAGACATAGCGTCCTGTCCTCGTCAACACCACAGTTCTACTAACTTACGTTGTTTCTTTTTTTCCACAGTGATGTGGAAGCAGTTGCCAAGCTCCTTACTAGTTTTCTGGGACTGGACAGAGTAGAGAGCCAAGAAGACCTCTCTCAGAGCAGCGAAACAGAGGGTAGTGATGCAGATGAACCACAGGATAAATATTAATAGTCGTCAGGAGCTGAAGAAAGCAGAGGCTTTCAAACATCTGGAAAATATACTGATTGCTCTTCAGAAAAAGAAATCTCTCACAGTCTTTACCTGGGCATTTCTCTACGTGTGTGTGTGCAACAGGAGGAATCTGTCTTAGGACACCTTTTTTAGGCTAAACTGCTTCAAGATCCGCTCTCTCAGCATTGCTGTTGTAGAGTCCAAAGCAAATTCCGGTTTATTTGTTCCTTTGCCTTAGTTCCTGCATGTGGACACTGGCTTTTGAGCTTTGTTAGCTCATCCAACTTGTCTAAGAACAGTTATTTATTAATTAATGGGTTTGAAATCATTTATTGCTTTCCCATTAATGAAGTGGAGATACAGATGCAAACATCTGCTGCAGGTACAGTATATGAAATGGAGAAGAGCTGAATTTGAAATCAACACAATGCTTTGAGGTTTTTCTCAAAATGTTATAAATGACTGAATATATGGCTAAATTGGTTTTAAGCAGCTTAATATATGCAATTAGGTGATGCAGGATAGTGGCACTTTTGTATTCTCTACTACTGACCTGCCGCTAAGATACCAGTGAAGTTAAAGTTGGAGTGACTGTCTTGGAATTGGAAACAACAGGCTGATCGCCCTGTTACAGTCTGACTTCTCTTGGACTTCCCAGGGAGCTGTAAACAAAAACTGATCATGTTGATGATTCAACATCTAAGGGTACCTTAATCCTGTTCTGCTTAACTTCTGGGCATAGATTGCCCCAAGATAAAGAAGCTTTTTCTAGACCTCAGCAGTTACTATTTTAACAGTGTATTTAGAAAGGAAGAAAAGCACATGTTAGTTTAGGTTGGGAGAAGACTGATGTCAAACTATGTGGCAGCCTAGATTTGTTTAGTATTTCCTCACTTGAAATGATACCTAAGTGCTAAATAATAACTTTTTTAAGATAGCTGGGGTAGATCCACTGTCTGCTTTGTATCCGTGTCTTACTCCAGGTGTGTGTAGTGTCCTCTGTTCTGACCAACGGTTTCACAGATGGTTAAAACACAAATTTTCCAAGATACTTTTTGAAGTCAAAGCTACCTCTGTTAGCCAACGTGTTCTGTCTAGAACTAAAACTTCATCATGTTGTCGGTACAAGGGAAAAAAAAAATGTTGTAAAGAGCTAAAAACCCCTTCAACGTGTTAAAACTGCTTGTGTTATAGTTCACTGAGTTCTATTTAGGAATTGTATGGTCTGAAGAGCTGAATTGGAAAATACTTAATAGAGTTACTTCTTGGAGACCTGAAGGGGGAATTGTGTGCTCTGCTTTCTCCTGTGGCCAGTGGCAGATGTCTTCAGGACTTGGCCTGCATTCTGGTTTCAAAGCTCTACCTCTGCAGAAGAGACAGCTCTGAAAAGGTTTCAGCAGAAGCTGTGTCCTGTTGTGTGTTCCTTCTCTGACCCAAGAATGGCTTGTACTGAAAATGCTCAAAGTGCTCTTTCTGTCTGTTTAAAAGGGACTGCAGCACAGAAGTGGGTTCTCTTTCTGTGAAATAAGAAAAGAAACCTGTAATTGTGTCAGGTATCAAAGCAGACCTCTGCTGACCTGCTTGTGAAGCCCTCTGAGTTGGGGGAGTTCATCCTTTCTGTGTCAGGTATCAAAGCAGACCTCTGCTGATGGACCTGCTTGTGAAGCCGTCTGAGTTGGGGGAGTTCATCCTTTGGTTTTCACTCTCCACCCCACATCACTGGAATTGGGAAGCTGCTTTGTATGAATGTGGGAAAATCAGGTTGCAGGCAATTAGCTAAACTTGGCGTTTATCTGAAGCACAGCTGTAAGCAAAGAGTAATCACCAAACTGGCTTAAAAAAAATACTGCAGGGTGTAACACTTTGGAGAGCCCTTCATTTAAATCTAGAGTAATGTATAGCCTGGGTGACACTCATTTTAGAGGGAAGAGAATGAGATTGGGAATTTGGAGAACTTGGTTTTTTTCCACTGTGTAAAATGAGAATTTCAGGTGTTCTAAGGACTTCCAGTAAGAAATACTGAAAGAGTGTTTAGTGGGATAATGTAACTGCTGCTTTGCAGTGAGGCTCTGCAGAGGGAGAGCGCGGTGGGGATCTGCATTGCACTTGTGTCCACGGGTTTCTTTGTGTTTCCCCAAGACCTAACATTCCATGGAAGATACAAACCACGCTGGGGTTTTCCAGTTAAAAATCAGCTTCAGAAAGGTACGACTGTTGATCTAAGCCTGTGCTGTGTGGTGTGCCCTGCTTCTGCTGAGCCCTTCTGTGCCTCTCGCTTCCTCTGCAGCCTTGATGTCAGTAGTGCCTGTACTTATGGACTATGCAACTTCGTTATACAAACACCAAAGCAACCTGAGGAGGATTCAGAACCCCTAGCAAGGGGAATGACCTGTAGGAAGAGAAACCAGCCTGGATTACATTCTGTGGAGTAAATGGGAGCTGGAATTCCGCAGACTGTGAAGGCTGAGTGAGTAAATTCATCCAGTTTGGTGTGTTCTGGCTGGGGGCTGTGTGCTGGGTGCTGCTGGCTGGTCCCTACAACCAGGAGCTCGTCGTGGTTCAACCCACAGCACGGGCAGAGGCTGGCACGGCTCGGCACCTTGGAGGCCCTACGTGTGTCACAGGCTGACGTGTGTTTCTCTTAATCAAGGTTTTGAGCTTCCCATCTTCAAAAACTGTCTTTTGTACTTGGAAGACATATCTGGATTTTCACGTTTTGCAGTCACTGTGTGCATGGAAAGTTAATTTGCAAGTGGCTGTGAACATGGATTTGGTTATGGCAGTGTCTGCAGGCTCCTCAGCAACACGATGCAGCTTGAAGGAACGGTTTAGAAGAGCAGGTGCTAACTCAGGACAGGTTCTGCTCAACCCTATTTCCACTAGTCCTTTCTCTGAGCCTCTTGCCGCTTTTTGACCATTTTGGATGGTTTTCCTCACTTCTCTTGGGCCTGGCTGGTTGAAAGGCCCAGTTCACGTAGCCTCGTGTGCCTGATGTAACGTGGCTTGTACTATGAGGAATGATGTGAAAGACTAGTTTTTGGTTGGGAAATTAGACACTCCTGGAAGAGCATTACAGATGTGCTTGTTAAGGTTTGTGCATCTCAGACTGTAGTAACTTGAGACTAAACAGCTGTAGTTTGACTTACAAATGATTTGAAAACCTGCATAAAAGGTCTTAATGTTCTATGTAAGCCTGTGCTTCATGAAGCCAAGGCTTTCTGTTACCTCTTTAATCTAGGTGTACGGTAAGTGCCGGTTGGCAGATGCTGCAGCTGAAACCCCAGCAGCCTGTGTGCAGTTCCCTGCGTGGCTGGGGCTGGGATCGCGGCCTCGGCTGTCGTGCTGAATGGAAGCATCTTATAGAAAGGGAGCAAGCTGCCTTATCTAAGCCATAACCCAATATTCTGCTGTTTCACAAACAGAGATACTCTGGTAACTAGGATCAATTGTACGAGTCTCAAAAACCAAGGTATTTATAGTCTATAGCTGAGATCTGACTGGTAACTAGGATCAATTGTACGAGTCTCAAAGAAAACCAAGGTATTTATAGTGTATAGCTGAGATCTGACACTTGCACTGGATTTATGAAGTTACACAGACACCAAAATCTGGGCTGGCTCTGACACTGCAGTAACTTGCTGAGAGGCGAAAATACTGCTGGAAAATGTTTAGAAATTGCTTTTCTACCTTAAAATTGCATATAGAATTTCAGCAAGGGCTTGTTTATCATGTTTTTTTTTTAAATGTCCATTGGTAAAATCAACTTTGATAACTTGTTTTGTGTCGCTGTAGTCTTTTTATATTGTTTTTAATTAAAATGTATTAAAATATTAATGGCTGTCTAAATTACTCATTGGCTCAGACCTATTAAAGGAGTTAGTGGGGGGGGAGGACAGAGTAGAGGAAGCCCAAATATTTAGCTCATTACTGACCCTGCTTTCACTTTTCCAGCACTCCAGCTCTGTTTCATATAAATTGATTTATATTTGCATTTCCCCCTCCCTTTAAACCAAACCCATGTGCCACATGCCAAAAAATATCCCAAAGAAAAATACTTCACACAAACATTTGGAGTATCAAAGGATTTATTAAAGTAAAATAAATTAAGATCTTGCTTAGTTTCAAGGTATGTGATTTCTGTAATTCCAGTACACATAGAAATGATTCTTTTTAGTTAAAAATCTGCCTGTGGACCAAACTCCTGTAGCTCTAATTAAATAAGTTAAAATTTGCCTTATGCTGTACTTCCTGTACCTGGAGCTGTGCGCTTTATAATGGATTGTTCCAAGAAAATATCACTACCTGTGCTTCCCAAATAAGGCTTTCAAGAAAGCAATAAATGAAGCAAACAAGGAATATTTCTAATAGTCAGGGCAAAGTAGCGCACTTCGCTACCAGACTTCTGAATTCTTTTCCACTGTGGTGATTACCTTAATGCTCTAGTGAAGTCCACAAAATATATTGCTATACGTTGTTAAAAGTTCAACATTTAAAGCAGAATAAAACAGCATTTTTTCCCTCGTTTTCAATAGACTTCAGTTGTGTTTCAGCTCTGGAGAGACCTGTGCTGGGTGGGTTTCACACAGTGGAGCAGATGCCGTGACGCGGAGGGTGCGTCTTTGCCGGGATGAATCCAGACTTGGGTGATTCCTTGGTGCAAAATCAAGCAGCCTGATGTGTTTTGGCAATTTTCCCCTCAAAGTCTGGTCTCACCTTGATTATTGGTAATAAACTCCTTCTCTGGAGCTCCCCTGCTTTCTGCTGTCACTGCCCAGCTCCTCTTTGCTGAGTCTGGTGTCACCCGGCGAGCACCCACTCCTTGCTTGGACTTTGCCAAAAGCTGGGTGGCAATTCCCTGCTTTACACATTTCAAAACTGCAAAGGGAGGACATGTTGGCTACTGACCAGAGCAGAACTCGTGGAACTCCTCCAGGTCACTGTAATGTAGGAAAGTCTGTTGCTACAAATACAGAATTTGGAAGAAATGGGGTTTTTCTCCTGCCCCATAATACAGCCGAGTTCTGACTCGCTCCTGCGTTGTGTTACACGAGGGGAGCTGATCTGACTTACAGGGCAGGGGATTTAAGGCCCAGCAATACATTACAACAGGAAAATTATATAGAGTTGAAGCCTCTTACCCTAATAAATTCCTTTATGCCTTCAGGTCACTTTTGTTTAATCTCAGTTCTTGCTTCAGCTCTCAAGATGACAACCTCTCGCTGTGTGACTAGTTGCAGATTTCCAGCTGCCACCTTTCCCCGGGGAGTACGACACAGGAATTGAAACGCCCCTAATTCTGTGCTTTTATTGCTTCATCTAAATCCTCCACCACTCGCTGCAGCTTCTGGAGGCTGGGCTGGACGTTCTCCTCCATCCACTCCTCTACGGTGCAGGTGTGGAAAACCTGCTCCATGGCTGCCTGGAGATCTCGCACCACAGCGTTCCACTTGGCCAGGAGACTGAGCAGAAGGAAGAAAATCACATTTCTAGTGAGTTCTGCCTCAAGGGAGGGCCCCACCGCGCTTTTCCCAACCAGCACAGGCCTTAAAAGGACTTTACAGGAAAAGGAGCATCTATTGCAAAAGCTCACAGGACTTGATTTCGTGCAGATGGCAAAAGGTCGATGCTGTTTAAGTGCCATTAATCTCGGCACTTTTCTTGTGCAATGACTTTGAAAGTACTGAAATGCGAGCTGAAAAAAACACTATACACATTTTAAGTGTAACTGAAACCCACGGTGAGACTCGTTGGGAACTTAACTCTGGGGTTTAATCAGGAAGAGCGGATGCAGTTGGATATTCACCTTATCACAGCAAAAAAAAGCTTATAAATTAGGCATTTAGCGTGAATCAGCATGAATCTGAAAAGCCCAGAGAGTTTGAGGGAGCAGGGAGAGGGGACAGGTTTTATTCCAGCCCTGCCTGGGCCCACGGTGAGCTCCTACAGGACGAAAACACTCTATATTGGAGTAACTCCCTGGGAAGGGAGAGCTTTTCCAACACCAATTTTATCCTTGTAGTCAAAGAAATTGTTCAACAGAAGACAAAGATAAACATCTTCTGTTTAAAATATATTATGAATAGTTCATATTGTTTGGTTTCCACTGATGCTTCTGAAATAACTACAGAAAGAGGCAGGGACTCAGAGCTGTATGTACCCGAGTGCCCCAAATAGACTTGATTTCCCCCGTGATGCGAAGGAAGTGGCGTTACCTGACGGCATCCGGCTGGAAGTGATGCATGATTATAGGATGAATAATCCTCCTTTTTCTGTGGTAGGGGCTGAACCAGCCTGTGACGTACCTGAAAACGGACGTTAGTAGGAGCAGGTTGTGAAACAGCAGTGAAATACGTGTTTGTTGCTGACAGGGCAGTGACAGGGCTTTGGCTGAACCTCAGCACACAGATAATGCTTAAGAAGTATGTAAATTTAAGTCCACTTATTTCTGGAAGTAGCTTGTAGAAGACTGTCCTGGCAGATGAGAGCAACTGATCATCTGTTGCATTTTAAGTTTCATTTCAAGTTCCTTTTCCTTTAACCGCACCATTAAAAAAATTTCATTTTAAGTAACAGTAAGATTTAATTTGGGAAAGAATGGGAAATAAGGCAGCACACAGCCTGTATGAATTCTGCTGAACATTTGCATCTAAGTGTTACACTCTGCTGAGGTGTCACTCTTTAGGGCTGCGGTGCCCAAACTGCAGAGCTGGATGTTTCCGTGACCGACCACCTTGTGGGAGTCACTTTCATGAAAGCCCCGTTTTGAGGTGACAGAGCCCCCAGACCCCTCAGAGAGCCCCGGGATCAACGTCAGCATCTCTCACCTGTTCCTTTCCAGAAGCTCATCCACCGATGACTTGAGGTAGAAACTAACTTGCGTCACAAGCGTGAGGATGTTGCTCCCAGGAAAGGTCCCCAGGCTCGTGCTGGACAAAGAGGATCCGTGAGTTTCTGAACTGACCGTGCAACAAGAAGCATCTCAATTCCCCAGCTGGAATTTTACCTCATGAAAGTTTCAGTTTCCAGGTTGGACATTCCCAGGAGCTTTTCCACCTTTTCTTTAGTCTTTTCAGAATAGCCACCTAGCAGAAGACAGTGGAAATAAGTAAAAAGAACCTAAATAACCACAATGTTTATAAAAGTGTTTGTTTTTTTTTTTTTCTGGAGTGCTCAGCATTAGCTCAGTAGTTCTCTCGGGTGAAGATTTTTTAAAGAGTAAAATGAAACTAGAAGAGGGGAAAGAAACTTGGGAATGGGAGGAGCACAGTGTCTCTCACACAACTGTGTTAGGAAAGCACTTCCTTGCCACGAGTTTCCCATTCGGGGTGCTGGCTAATTTTAGGGTTTTAGAACAAGTAGGTTGTGGGTTTTTTATTGTAAAAATAGGAAATGCTGAAAGACAAAAATAAAATTTCTATTTGCAATTGCCTGTAAAGAAAAGCAGAAACTACAGGAAGTATTTTACCAGCCAGCACACTACCTAGAGCACTACCTAAGAAAATTGATTAGTTAAAACTAATTGTTTACACGTCAATGAGATCTAATCTAAATCCTGTATCGCAAACGTGCAAGATGTATAATTTATTGTTCTTAATTGACCACGATCAGATAATCAAACCACCTTAAAATGGTAAGAAGCCTGTGCCAACCTCAGGGCAAGGTGACTTCCCTGGTGTGTTAGGCATTAGCTGGGAGAGAGTGAAGTTGGCATTCATGGAATTCATGGAACGTACCGTTCTCCAGCGCCTGCAGACACACGGCCAGGGACGGAATTGCCACAGGGAGAAGCTCACACAAGACAGAGAAGTGATCGTACCTAAATAAGAAAACATTCATTAATTAGACATTTTACTATTAGAACTTACGAAACAAGTGGGAACTTTTAATATTTCAATCACTAAAATTCAAAGAGCTCTAGAAATTCTGTCTCAGAGAAGGGACCTTCTGTTTTAATATTTCAATCACTAAAATTCAAAGACCTCTAGAAATATCAGTTTCTGTCTCAGAGGAGGGACCTTCTCTCTGAAACACCAAGCATTCCTGGTTTAGGAATAAGAACAGATACAAACCAAATTACTTTCCCAAGACAAATGAGGGTCAGAAATTGGAATTCAGCTCTCTGGCATTCCCTTAGACCTCCTGGCTGCTGCATAAAACCCTTTTACTCCTTCATTACATTAGCAAGTTCTCTCTTACGCAGCATCGTTCCATTTGAATTCCCGTCAGACATCCAGATACACCCCACCCATTAACTATGCCATCTACAAGCAGCTCCAGGTGGCACAAAGTCCACTCAAGCCTTCAATCCTGATGTGCTCTTGTTGGCATCTGCCAAAACAATTCCTCCTGCTGACTAATGCCACAGCAGCTGATGGGAACTCTGCAATCACCCTCCACCTGCAGCAGGGGAACCCCAGCAGGAACCAACAGGAAGGACAGCAGGGTTGTGAAGTTCTGAATCCCCAGCCTCCTTGTACCTCTCAGGGAGTTTTTGGGTGGAAGGCTTTTTCCACATGATCCTCAGAACCATTTAAAAAGGTGTTCCTCACCTTTGCCAGCCGCCAAAACAATTCCTCCTGCTGACTAATGCCACAGCAGCTGATGGGAACTCTGCAATCACCCTCCACCTGCAGCAGGGGAACCCCAGCAGGAACCAACAGGAAGGACAGCAGGGTTGTGAAGTTCTGAATCCCCAGCCTCCTTGTACCTCTCAGGGAGTTTTTGGGTGGAAGGCTTTTTCCACATGATCCTCAGAACCATTTAAAAAGATGTTCCTCACCTTTGCCAGCCAGTCAGGGCGATACCTTCAAGGACATCAGGGGGGCTCCTGCTTGCCACTTTCAGCCACTGGAGGTGGTTTTTCAAGTGGTGCCCGATAAGCGTCAGAGACTGATTCACTCCCGTAGCTCCTTTAAAAGCACTGGCAACCCACACCTTGGAGAAGCCACATCTGCGATACTTCTCTATGAGACACACTGCCACGAGACACAGAAGAGCACTTACAGGACAAGTTTTTCTCCATTTTCTGCCTTGACTCTAATGCTCCAATAAACAGGAACCCAGGTTCCAACAGTTCCAACAGGAACGGTTGCAACAGGCTCCTGAGTCTTGTCCCATCAAGTTCTGAGCATCATCAAGGGGGGACATTTAACATGCTCTCTGAGCAGCCTGTTGCAGTGGCTGCCCCCCCATTTCCATGTGCCCAGTTTCTATATTCCATCCCCTTGAATTGCTCAATTCCAAGAACTGAGTGAATGCAACGAGCATGCACACCCTCTGGCCACTGATTCTCCTCTCAACAAAGAAATACCCTATACTAGAGCCCTTAGGAATTCTTCTTTTGAATTCTATAGATGTCTGAAGCCTTGAAGCTTCTTTTGCAAAGCTGTTCTGTCAGGAGCTATCTGCTCCCGCTGGTTTTAACTCAAGGAGAGTTAACGTAACAGAGCTTCTGAAAAACCCCTCAGTCTCCCCCCAGTGATTCCACAGCCCGCTTGAAAAAAATCAAGCAGCAGCCAATGCAAGCCCTTCACAGGAGAAGCATAAATAGAAAAGGAAAACACATAATAGCAACTGTTATGTGAAATCAAACAAGCACTATGTTTCTGCTACTAAAGCAGTAAGAAGCAATTTAACAAAGATAGAGATATTTTTGTGTCTAAGGTAGGTTTTAACCATACTATTTGGTTTGGCTATTCTGTTTAAGAGGTAACAGCTCTTTGCTTCTCAGAAGCAGCTTAGCAGAGAAGCACAAACCTTTGCCCTCCACGTCGAGGTCTGCTGCGTAGTCCCAGATCATCGGCTGCACCAGCTGCGGGACCCCAGACTCTGAAAGGAACACAGTTCTTCTAAGTCATGGAGAACAGGCACTTAAAAGTGAGGATTAAGGACACATTCTTGGTGCAGTAGCAGGTGACTAGAGCTGTGGCTTGTCACTAGAATTCTTCATTTACAGCTAAAGTGCCCCTGGGCATTTTCAGCCTGGCCAGGGTATTGAACACGTGGGTTCATGTGCCAGTGGTCACCAAGTCCTTAGACATCTTGAAACCTCTAATACGGATCAGCAGTGACACTTCATTGGAGAACCCCTTCATTCCAAGCCCATCTCATTCTTACTCCCTCAAATCTATCGGTACACACCTGCTGGGTTGGACCGGTGGAGCTGCACACACTGTACAAATGAGATTTCAGCTAAATTCAAAGGAAATAGTCACCCTGTAAGTTAGAGATTACCTGAGCTGTGTTTGCACAGAACTTTGCTTTTCAAGATGCCTTTGAAGTACAAACAAAGATACAGGTTTAGCTTCAAATCCCTTTATTACTAGTTTCATCAGCATCCCGTTTCCATTTGTTTTGTTTGCTATTGCCTGTGGCAGCAGAGTGCACTTACTACATCCTGTGCTGCTCTCGTGGAAACCACATGGGACCCACCTGCATTTTTTTGCACAATTTCCCACTATCAAAGCTGTGAATAGGTTGGTCACTGCTGGAGGAGCCACACAGCTCCTCAAGGTATTGTCTGTTTCAAGCAGACACGGAAGGTGGATCTGAAAATGCTGGAACTCTGTCTGCGCTGGAACTACTCAAATTTTTGCAGTGGTTTTGTATTTTTCAACAGACAAGACTTGTGACGTCAAGGCCTTGGAGCTGCCCCACAATTCAGATCACTAGAATTCTTCATTTACAGCTAAAGTGCCCCTGGGCATTTTCAGCCTGGCCAGGGTATTGAACACGTGGGTTCATGTGCCAGTGGTCACCAAGTCCTTAGACATCTTGAAACCTCTAATACGGATCAGCAGTGACACTTCATTGGAGAACCCCTTCATTCCAAGCCCATCTCATTCTTACTCCCTCAAATCTATCGGTACACACCTGCTGGGTTGGACCGGTGGAGCTGCACACACTGTACAAATGAGATTTCAGCTAAATTCAAAGGAAATAGTCACCCTGTAAGTTAGAGATTACCTGAGCTGTGTTTGCACAGAACTTTGCTTTTCAAGATGCCTTTGAAGTACAAACAAAGATACAGGTTTAGCTTCAAATCCCTTTATTACTAGTTTCATCAGCATCCCGTTTCCATTTGTTTTGTTTGCTATTGCCTGTGGCAGCAGAGTGCACTTACTACATCCTGTGCTGCTCTCGTGGAAACCACATGGGACCCACCTGCATTTTTTTGCACAATTTCCCACTATCAAAGCTGTGAATAGGTTGGTCACTGCTGGAGGAGCCACACAGCTCCTCAAGGTATTGTCTGTTTCAAGCAGACACGGAAGGTGGATCTGAAAATGCTGGAACTCTGTCTGCGCTGGAACTACTCAAATTTTTGCAGTGGTTTTGTATTTTTCAACAGACAAGACTTGTGACGTCAAGGCCTTGGAGCTGCCCCACAATTCAGAATGGGAGCCCCTCCAATGTGCTCTAGGATCACATACCAAAGGTGCTCACAGTGTCACAGCTCCTCCATGGAAGCCTGTGCCACTGGAACCAGACGCGGCACGGAGCAAGAACCAACATCAGAAGGTGGTGAGAGGCAGAGAAATTTAGACTGAGACCACAAATGGTAATAGTTGGAGTTTTGTAATGTGTAAAGGAAGTAGAATTGATGGCAACCACTGCATGATGACTGTTTTGTTTGCTATTGTTACCAGATGGAGAACTAAAGTGTACTCCGTGTTGAGACTTGCCTGGAGTCACACAGAAAGTCTGTGACACAGCCAAGGACTGAACGTCTCTGCTGTCCAGTCTAACAATCACATCTCAACTATTCTCAGATTTCTCACCTTCATTACTTTCAGCTGCCAACAAATCTGTTTTAACTGCCTGTGGAAAGGTTTTTGTAGGCTCCAGAATATGACTCGCCCCCTGAGGGATCACGCACCTGCCAGTGTTTCCTCACTCATCCCTCTGAGCATGTCATCCCACACGACGGGCGTCACGCCGGGGTAAGACGAGGCCACACAACTTGCAACTGCTTTTATGTGGGATAAGCAGAGCTTCTCAGGAGTGTTGTCTTGTTGCTGCAGCCACTGCTTTGACTCCTCTCCTTCGCCCAGGTAATACACCTGGAACACCAAATGAACGAGTTTGACACAGTGTCACCAAATCATACAATATTTAAAACCTATTGCCCAGATGTGACACACAGAGAGGACATATTTAAAAGCATCTCTCCGTGTTGAAGACACTGCAAGTGCTTCTACCAGCCTACAGGACATTGTGGCCATGAATAAGTGCACTACGTAAGGGAATTTTTGTATAGAAACTATAATTAATAATTAATGCCTGCTGTATTTGTCTTTGCCAGGTTCGTCTTCAGAAATAGCTCTCACCAGATTTACTCAGTTCAAATCTAGTAATCCATAAAGTCCTGAATTACATAAAATGAAGTTCCTGTCTTGGGGAAGGAGATCATCTGTACCTGAATCTAGAAGTGACTTGGGGGCACGTCCACGCGCGGCCCCAGTGTGCTTGGTCCTACCCAGAGAGTGGATTTGGGCCTATTGAGCTAAATATGCATTTAAAACTCTTTGCTGTTTTAGAGCAGATTTAATCTAAACCACATTTATTCCACATAAACAGTACTTTTTCTTTTTAAAAGCTTGCAAGTCCCTATCTAACCTTGCCACTAGTTCCCAGACAACAGGATGCAAAATGCTAAATTACTATCAGTACAGTTAAGGTGATCACAAAGAATTTCAGGGATCTGTGTGCCATAGGGAGGGGTTTAAGAAACTCAAGGTTCTCTTCCTCAAGGAGACAAACTACCAAGAGAAAATACCCCAAACTTCCCACCACAAAAGGGCTTACTTTAAATAAGTTGCCCAGAACAACGAGCCAACAGCCAAACTCACATGATTCTTAATTAATACCTCCAATTGCTATCTCACTTTAAATACTCATTTCACTTAAAACCAAATGCTGAGTTAGCATTAAGAAACTGCTTTCAATACTTTTGATATTATACTTAGAGCAACAGAAATAGCATCCTGTGCTACTGGAACAATTTATTGTCAAAAAGAGTTTCCTAAGTTAGTGTTTTCTGTCCCCAGGATCATACCCAAATGTGGCCTGGGCACCAGGGAAATGCAGAAGCCTCGGCCTTTATCATCATTCCTCAAAAGAAAAAAATTCCTGGCTCATGAGAAGTCGCACCTCATCACATCCAATGTGAAACCATTTTACATCTTCATGCAGTGCCATGACTTGGTCAACCATGGCTTTGACCAGCGCCCGCGACTCCTCCTTGTGTGGGTTGAGGGCGTTGGGAAACACCTTCACCTCCCGGAGATGAGCGAACTCTTTGTGCTTCAGCACGAACTGCAAGAGAAAGGAGAGCTCGGGGAACAACCCCAACACGAAGGGGGACAGCAGTGTCCTCTTGTGTTACCAGGGTCTGCTAACAGCTGTCCTGCTAAAACCTGGGTGTTGGGTGTGGGTGAGCATAACAGCTGTCCTGCTAAAACCTGGGTGTTGGCTGTGGGTGAGCACGGGGCTGTTGGCTGTGTGTGGGCACAGGGGTGTTGGCTGTGCGTGGGGGCTGTTGGCTGTGTGTGGGCATAGGGGTGTTGGCTGTGTGTGGACATGGGGGCTGTTGGCTGTGTGTGGGCACAGGGGCTGTTGGCTGTGCATGGGGGCTGTTGGCTGTGTGTTGGCACAGGGGTGTTGGCTGTGAGTGGGCATGAGGCTGTTGGCTGTGTGTGGGGACAGGGGTGTTGGCTGTGCATGGGGGCTGTTGGCTTTGTGTTGGCACAGGGGTGTTGGCTGTGAGTGGGCATGAGGCTGTTGGCTGTGTGTGGGCAGAGGGGTGTTGGCTGTGTGTGGGCACAGGGGTGTTGGCTGTGTGTGGGCACAGGGCTGTTGGCACAGGGGCTGTTGGCTGTGTGTGGGCACAGGGGTGTTGGCTGTGCGTGGACACAGGGCTGTTGGCTGTGTGTGGGCACGGGGGCTGTTGGCTGTGAGTGGGCACAGGGGACTGCACGAGGCCTCTCCCTGGGGGCTGTGCAGGGATGGTACAGGCAGGAGGGACACGGCTGCTGCTCCACAGTGGTCTCTGACCATGAAACACCTCAGGATGAGAAGGAACCGGGGTGCTCAGTGCAGCGTCCCGAGCGTGGGAAGCTGGATAACGGGAGGCCCAGCACTCATGATGGAGATTTCCCAAAAAATCGCCCCCCCCGCCCCCCCCAGCGCTCCCAGGCATCGAAGGCACGATGCCACCCGCTCTCTGCTCACCTCCATGTGCCCGAAGGTCTGCACCAGCGGCACCACCTCCAGCCCCTGCGCCCTGGCCTGGCTCAGCACCGCCCTCACCTCCCCGGGGCTGCGGGGGGAGAGCGACACCTCAGGGCCCGGCCCGGCTCCGCGGATCCCTCCGGGCCCACCCCCGGCCGGTACCTGTAGGCGTGAGGGGCCCGCAGCTGCCCCAGCGGCCCCGCGTAGGGGAAGGTGTCCTCATACTCCAGCAGCAGCCCGCTGGCGCCCAGCGCCCGCAGCAGCGGCAGCACCTGAGGGGACAGAGGGGGCCTCCCACCTGGCAGCGGAGGCCGTCGTCCGCGGGAGTGGAAGCGCCCGGGCCCGGCGGGTTGAGGGGAGCGGCCTGTGGGAGCTCCTGTGGGAGGGCGGCCCGTCACCCCCGGGCGTGAAAGAGGGATAAAAATTGCATGTGTGCATATACATCTGGGGAATAACCCCCTGCACCAGGACAGGTTGGGGGTGACCTGCTGGAGAGCAGCTCTGAGGAGAAAGACCTGGGAATCCTGGTGGACAACAGAATGCCCATGAGCCATCAATGTGCCCTTGTGGCCAAGAAGGCCAATTGTATCCTGGGGGGCATCAGGAAGAGTGTGAGCAGCAGGTGGAGGGAGGTCATCCTGCCCCTCTGCTCTGCCCTGCCCTGGGGAGGCCCCATCTGGAGCAATGAGACCGTGTCTGGGCTCCCCAGTTCAGGAAGGACAGGGAACTGCTGGAGAAGGGACAGCAGAGGGCTGCAAAGATGATGAGGGACCTGGAGCATCTCCCTTATGAGGGGAGGCTGAGGGACTTGGGGCTTTTTAGTCTGGAGAAGAGAAGGCTGAGGGGGGATTTGATCAATGCTTATAAGTACTGAAAGGGTGAGTGTCAAGAGGATGGGGCCAGTCTTTTTTCAGTGGTGCCCAGGGACAGGACAAGAGAAAGTGGGCACAAAACACCTAAACGTGATGAGGAACCTCTTTTCTGTGAGGGTGGCAGAGCCCTGGAACAGGCTGCCCAGCAAGGGGGTGGAATCTCCTTCTCTGGAGACATTCAAACCCACCTGGGCACGTTCCTGTGCAACCTGCTCTGGGTGGACTTGCTCTGGCAGGGGGTTGGAGTAGATGATCTCCAGAGGTCCCTTCCAACCCCATGTGATTCTGTGATTCTGTATACTCAAAAGGAGGGGTCAGTTTTGGTACTGGTGCTGGTCTGTGAGGGGGTCTCCCCAGTATCAGGTGGGATAGTGTCACCTCAGCGGCTTGGGAGCGGTGAAGTTGTTCTCTTACCTGGGGCTGTTGCTGTGCTCCCTCCCTAGTGCCAAGAAGAGCAGAGGCCAGCAAGAGTCACGGTGGAGGTGGCTGAAGGCAGTGTTCCTGCTCTCGTCTGCTGCTGTCGGTGGCCTCTTGAGCTGGAACTACCTGAGTGCTGAGGATGGAGTCACAGAGGTGCTGGCTCATCGCAGGGAGAGCCTTCAGGACAAGTTCGTTGAGATCCCCTGCTCTGAGGACTACAACAGCCACAAAAGATTTGAAGGTATCTGGGTAGGACTGTCCAAAGCGGGATGAAGCAGCCCTCAGGGAACTGTAGCAGGCTGACTGCTCTCTAAGGCTCTTAAACCAAATTTGTGCTGCAAAGCTCCAGTGTTTCTCACACCTGGCTGCTGGGTGTATTGTTTAAATCCCCAAATGTTCATACCTCTTGGGCCAGCCCAGAAGTTGCTGCAGCTGAGAGGTTTTTCTGTTATTCCTACGTAATTCCCTTCTGAAACTGCTTGCTTAGGCTGTATGAAATACATTTCTGTGTATATGTTTCTAGTGTCTTTTCATGCTCTGTTGATTCCTGTAATAGGCTTGTGGGTTAGTTTGTTACGGGTAAATACCATACAGGGTGTGGAACAGAACCAATTTAGGATATTGTCTGTGCTACTAGCATGTGGTAATGGCACAAATGCCAGCTTCTGACACTTGTTTTGAGATGTGTGTGTGCTGCAGCTTTTGATGCTGCCTGCAAAGCACTTTTCTGTCTTTATGTCTGTCAGCAGAGCCTGTTTTCTGCCAAATTGGTATTTGTTTCACCTGCCCCTTATTTCTTTAGAGTGTTGATGTGGGATCTTATAGAGAAAGGGAGGATTTTCATCTTCTCTGATGAAGAGCAGTGAGAGTCTAACTTGCAGTTTGAATGGATGAGCTATGCTGGTGTTCCCTTTCAGATTTGCAAAATGTATCTTGATGAGCATTTTGAGCTGGTGCTGCTGCCAGAAGGCAGCTCTGCTCTTGCTTTGTCAGCCTACCTTTATGTCTAGCTGTGTGTTGACTGATAAGCTATTGTGTAAAAAAAAAAATAAAAAAAATTCTGAGCTAGTTTTTAGCCAAATCAGTTTTTACTTGGTTTATTATGTTGCTGACAAACCACTTGTGGCTGATACAAAGCTGGAGACAAGTGTGGAGGCTGGAAGAAGCTTGTTGGAGCTGAGGAAGAGCGATGATGATCAAAGGGCTGGAGAATCTGCCCTGTGAGGAAAGAGTTGGGTCTCTTCTGGAGAAGAGAAAGATCGGGAGGAACCACATCACAGTATTCCAGTACTTAAAGGGCAGCTACAAAGAGGATGGAGGCTCCTGCCTCACAAGGAGCCACATGGAGAAGACAAGGGGCAGTGGGTACAAGCTGCACTGGGATGTAGAGTCCGTATGACTGGAGGTTTTCAAGATGTGATTGAACATGGTGCTAGATTGTAGAATCATAGAATTGTCTAGGTTGGAAGGAACCTTAAAGATCATCTAGTCCAACCATCAACCTAACCATCAGCCAGGCTCCCTTTACCACAAAAGGTGAACCAGGTGATCTTTTGAGGTCCCTTCCAACCTGGGAGGTTCTATGACTTTGATTTCTAACTTCCAGTGCCAATTTTGGTAGAAAGTGTTCATCAAACTGCAGCCTGGATGTGGTGCCCCAAAGGTGTGGAGGTAACTCCCCTGTCCTCTTCAGGTGGCTCCACCTCCTGGTGCTGTTGGTTGAAAGGCTTGTAACATAAACCAAAAGTCTGTGTAGTTTGTGGTCAGATAGATGCTCCAGTAGCAGCACTGAGGGAAAACTTTTTTGGAGGATTCATCAACCCAGGAGGAACGAAGGGGAGTCATCTGCTAGATGTTTCGCTTGCTGCTGTTTATTCACTTTTGTGATTGATTTGGGGTTTCGGCAGATGTATTTACATGTGTTTCCCTCGACTGTGCTTTCAGAAAGAGATCAGGGGTATCAGAAAAGTGTGAACATCTGTTTCGTTAAGTGGTTAATTGAAGCCATGCTGTGATAATGAACTTCGCTCTTGGGTTTTTAACTCTCGTCTCCTGCCTGGTCCCCACAAGAGGGTGGTGGTGAGCTGCTGAGCCTCGCTGTCCCACCACAGCTGACCTCCTCGCTCCACCTCTGTGTTCCCCATAGTTTAGCGAGGCAGTAGATGCGGGTTGGGGTTCTCTGCCAAATCGGATTCGGCTCCGGAGCTTTAGTCGCTTTGTTTGAAATAACCTTCTGTCACTCAATAGCTTTTCAACCTCTGCCTTTGCTCTGGCTTGACACCCGCAGCTGCTGGCTCGGTGTCAGCAGGAGGCACATTCCTGTCATCGCTCGGTGTCTGATGCTCAGCTGTAAAGTTTCCACAGTGAAGATGAGCTTTTTTATTTATGCACCTGTTCCTGCTTCAAACTGAACTAGTGCAACCGAGCTTCTAGTTAGCTTCAAATGCTAGGACAGTTGGTGTCAGAGCAGTGGTTTTATTTCCATAGCACTGCCTGCCAGTAAAGATGCTTCATACAGAAGTAAAATGTGTTATTTTTCAGAGGCCGAGCACTTAACTTATTATATTTGCAGAAGACAGGGTGTTCTGTGAGCACAGTCCCATTTGAGTTCTGAACCCTCTAGATGGATCTTGGCTACTTCTGCTGCCTCGAGACATGGGTAACTACTTATAGCTACTGTGGCTACTGGTGTGTCTGATGGAACCCCTGTGTACTCTTATGTGTGTTGACATACTGTGTCAGTGTACAGAGCACCCATGGTCACTACCCAGGACACAGCTTTAGGATGCTTTTCCAGAGGCCAGATCAGTGGATGTGGGAAGCAGAAAAGTCTGTGAACGGTGAAGGAAAAGGTCTAACACCTCAACTGCTGGTGTGGTCATGGGGATGGCATCCAGTAAATCCTTGCCTCCTCTTGTGCTGCTTTGAGGTGGATTGCATTAGGGCAGCATCATGATGGGGCTTTTTTTCTCATCTGAATCCTCCTGGTCTTGGCAGTGGATGGTTCTTGGCCAAGTACCTCTTTAAGTAGAAGACAAAGCTGCAGTTCAGGCACTTGGGCCCCTGTGTTACCATCTGTTCTCTGTGCACTGCAGGGGCCATGGTGGTTTTGTGTGTTTTGGTATGCTCCTCCTTTACCTTGATTGAAAAAAATGCAATTCTTGGATCCAAAGCCAAGTGCCTTATCTAGTAAGTGAATGATTCTGTGTCTATTAGGTACAAATTTGTGGAAGGTACCTGGTATTGAACTTCTCCTGAGTGCAGATTCTCCAAGTATGTTTTTAACACTTCAGTGCTCCTGTATCTTAAACAAAGGTGACACATTTCTTAATGCTAAAATTGTTTCCAAACAAACAGACTGTTTTGATTTTTCCTTAGCATTCATCCAGTGTTTGTGCCTTACTGCTGGTACCTGCCTGACTTCATGCTGGACTGTCTTCTTGTTTTTCTTCTCAGCTGCTGCTGTTGCCTTCAGCACACCTCCTGCTTCCAGCATGGTCTCTGCCAGATCTTTGTGAGAGACCCTTGGCACGTAACTGTTGTTCTGCCAAATGTAGGCTCTCCAGTGCCAACCATTCCAAAAGGTTAAGATCTGTGCTGTTGGTTGTGGCTGGAAATAGCACAAATCTCTTCTGAAACCAGAAATCTTTGCTAGTGTCCTTTTTGCAGAACGTCATACAAGAAAACTCTACTTAAACAGCTTTCTTCTGGAGTATTGACATTCTCTTTTAAATTTTCCACCTCTTTTCCACTTTTCCACCTCTTTTCTCCTTGAACACCAGCTTTCCCTCTTGTCTAAGACAATTTTATTTGTCTTTCAAGCATTTTCAATGGCAGAAGGAAAGTAATTCCCATTTTCTTGCCTGTAGTTAAGAGAGTTTCCTTGTTTTTCTGTGTTCAGCTTTCTCCAACCCCCTCAAAACTTCATTTTTTCTCTCGGCTTGTTACCTCAGCCATTTCTTATCCTGGTTTTTAACAGGACTATCAAAAAAAAGTGTACTGCCAGTATGCAAACTTGTGCTTGATAACATTGTTGACATCTTTATACCCAACAAAACGTTGGGTGCAGCGTGGAGTATACGTTACGTGACTTCTGATTGATGATCACTGTTCTGCAAATTTGAGTGGGTCTTATGGTTACTAACAAAATGTTTGCTAAGGTTTTTTTTCAGTTCTGGGAATACAAATTGATTCCTCTTTGGCTGTTTTTTTTTTTTTTTTTAACATGCATCTCAGTTTAAAATTGGGTGCTGGGAGCTGTTATTGCCTCAGCCATCTGTCTCGCTCTTTGGGTGAGTTTTTGCTAGCCTGGAGGCAGAGATGTCTCATCCCTGGCAATTGGCTCCTGAGATGCTCTTCAGCCTGGCATTCAGCAGTGAAGAACTGATTTTAATCTGCCACTGCTGAATGCAGGATGGAGCCTTTAAGGCACAGCAACATAAAATGTGTATAGTTTTGTTAGGGCAGACAAGTAATAGTTTGCAATGTTTGCTGGCTGCTACTTGTTGCTTTTCAGAGCCGCTGGGTCATAGGCTCCAGAGGAACACAGCAGTTCCAGTGCTTGCATTTGTATTGCAAGATCTGTGGTCTTTAACTTGCAAACTGTTGATTCCTGGAACTGAGATTGAAAAATGCAAGAATTTCCACAAAACCCGTTGCAGAGGGAATATTTACAGTGTGCCTGAAACGTGGCACAGAAGCTCCCCCTCGTTCTGTTCCCTCCACTCCCAAACTTGTAATTTAGAACAACTTTCTGCCTGTAAAGCCTTTGTTGGTTTGAATTCTGTACCTTTGGGGCTGCTACCATATTGCGAAATGTTGTTCTTTAATGTGCAAAGTGCCTTTGGGCTGCTGCCAGGATTTGTAATGTTTATGGTGTTGGTTTTTTACGTCACAGTGGTTTCTAATAAATGGTATGTTTTGATTCTGCTCATTTCTTTAGCTCACAGGGTCAAGAGGAGAGAAGTGAGCTGTGGGGGCACTGGTTTGGGTTCATTCTTGTCACACTGCTGGGTTCTGTGCTGGCACTGATAAATGAATGCTTAGGAATGTAATCTCTAGCATTATTTCAGACTGCTGGTGTCCTAGGTCATAATTCAGTGTGTGCTCCCCGGAATGTGAGTCTTGAGCCAATTTGGTGAATTGTTGCTGGGTAGTCAGAAAATGCAGTGACTGATCTGGGTTGTAATCCAGTTGGTTTCCTCACCTCGATCTGTGTTTAAACAGTCTGCTTGGTGTTGGTGCCTTTGACTTCAATTTAAATACACATCAAACAAGGGACAAGCAAGGAAACAGTGTGTATTATTTGGAATGTTGTTGCCAGTACTCAGCCTATTCACCCACACATCTTTCTCATTGATTCTCTCTCCTCTTGAAATGCTGGTGTAACTGGAGGGCTGTATTGAGATATATCCAGTAAGATGGAGTGGAAATTCCTACAAAACACCTGTGCTGTGGCAAAATTTCTCTTCCTGTCAGTCTGTGGTCATTGTTATCATTAGTTGCTTTCAGTCACAGCAGACTGATGCTTTTGACTTGCGTGGATGAATTGATTGATTTCTTTCCAAGAGTTTCCCCTCCTGCCCCCCTTTCTGTTCTGATGAGCAAATAATCCTTGAAGAGGAGCTCAGTTCAGCGGCAGTAAGTGTATTGGCAGATGTCAGAAAATACACTCAGCCCAACTTTTCTGTGGCTTTATGTCCATATATATATGGATCTTTCCCAGTTAAATGCCAGCTGTGACATCCCAAGGTCTCTGGTGGCTCAGAATTGATCTTTTTGCCTGAAGACTGCTGTGGACCAGACTTCTAGTTTTATAGGAACTTTCACATGTTCTTCATCTGGAACTCTTACTGCTGGATTTTTTCCACAAGCTTTTAAAATTTAATGTTAGATTTCTTAACAATGAATTTTAAGGGACTTTTTTATTATGTATGTCCAAACTGTGAGCTTCAAGACACTTTTGTGCAAAGTCTCATATAAGAAGCTGCCCTTCAAGGTAAATTTGTATAGACACCCCATACAGAATTTTGACTCCCGGGTAAATTTGTATAGACACCCCATACAGAATGTTATTTGTTTCCTTTTGACTCCCATGTTTGGGGGGGACAGAGTTGAGCAAATCTGCATTGTGCTTTTATTCTCCCTGCATTATGACTGGAATGTTTGAATTCACTGCCTTTTTTGTTACTAGTGCTTTCCCCAGTGATTTCCAGTGGACAGCAGGGAAAGTGATGTAGTTTGAGTCCTGGGGCCTTGATTCTGTGCGGAGGCAACAGTAACTCTGGCTGGTTTGTCTTCTCTCTGATAATTGTTGTGCAAAACACATAAAAATGGAGGTGTAGCTTTCTTGTAGTTTAATTTATATATTCTGATGCTTTCCCCAGTGATTTCCAGTGGACAGCAGGGAAAGTGATGTAGTTTGAGTCCTGGGGCCTTGATTCTGTGCGGAGGCAACAGTAACTCTGGCTGGTTTGTCTTCTCTCTGATAATTGTTGTGCAAAACACATAAAAATGGAGGTGTAGCTTTCTTGTAGTATAATTTATATATTCTGAGATTACCAACATCCCTTCTGAATGTTGTGAATCTGAAAGGGGAGTGGGAGAAAACTAATGGGCACTCGTTTTGAACCTTGTTTGAAAGATCTCTTTTTTTTTTTTTTTCCTCTTCCCCTCTGTGTTCCAGGGTGTACTCCTAGAAAGTGTGGAAGAGGTGTGACCGATGCAGTAATCACAAGGGAAGAAGCTGAAAGAATCCGTAGGTAATTTTTCTTTTAGCTCCTAAAGTAGCTGCTTGGAGAGTTAATGACAGTGTGCCAGTGTTTAAGGTGTAGCACAAAGCTCCTTAGCTGAAGGAGGATGGGTTAAACTGGTTAAAACACTCAACTTTTTTAAAAAGCCGTTTTCCACTTTTGCTGTAGTGGATGCAGTTCTCTTTCAAACAGTCTGCCTAGTTCTGTGGGGCATGAGCATTCTGGAGAGAAAAAAGGAAACTGAATGAAGTAAGTTTTAATGGATTTTTCACTTGGCCTTCTGTTCCATTTGGCCTTTAAGAACAGAACAAAAAATAAGCCTCCTTTCAGCTGAGTCTTTCTGGGTAATTATGAGCTAGTGCTGACCCTGTTGTCCTCTATGAACACTAAGTGGGTGTGTTTTTAATCAAATAGTAGGGGACACTGTCAAACGATGCAGTTAGAACAGTTATCAGCCTCTTTGAGTGTGATTTGCACTTGATAATCGTTTAAGTAGGCACTATCAGTGTAATGCTCAAAGCCATAGGCTGCTCCTACAAGTACTTTGCTCCTACAAGTACTTTGCTCGCTAATCGGGCCAGCCACTCTGATTCCAAATTCATAGGCACTATCAGTGTAATGCTCAAAGCCATATGCTAATCGGGCTGGCCACTCTGTGATTCCAAATTCACTCAGGCTTCTGATTTTGATAGAGCATTTCTGCATTGTACAGCTTTATTTGTACTGCCCTTAAGAATCAAGATCTGGGTTTTTTATGTTTAATCTTACTTGGCCAGAATATATTTGAAGGACTTGGTTTTGGGGTTGTTGGGGAGGTTTAAGGAAGGGGGCTACAAGCTCAGAAATGTTCTGCAATGTGGATGCTTTATTTTCATGGCAGGCTGCAAGATTCAGTTTCAAATAAACTACAGCTTCTATTAACTCAATCGGGTTATATCTGATGCATCAAATACCACTTACTGAAGAGTTACGTGCTGTAAATAATGACATTAAAGGACAAAATAATCAGACTCAGTTCTCATCTGAGGTTATTGTTTTGCCTGCAGAATAGCAGAGAGGGGACTGTCCTTGGGAGGATCTGATGGAGGGGTGAGCAGTGTCCTGTTACTTTTTATATTCTTTTACTGCCAAGGCAAGATTATAAATGCATTTTTGGGGCTTGAGGAGAGGAGATGGAGAATTTTTCTTTCCATTCAGACTTGGAAAAAAATTCTTTGGAAAGTTATTTTATTGCCCGTTAATACTTCTGCTAGCAGTGTAATTTGTGACTTCTACAATACAGTTGACACTTCCTATTATTCAGTTTAGTTATTTCTAGCACCTCTCTTGAACTGATTTTGTCTTCTCCATCTGGAAACAGTTACTGTAGCAGAACTGCTCAAGTCTGACTTCTGAAAACTGAATTACAGTGGTTCACAACATCACGTAAACATTGGTTTTGTGTAGTGACAAAAATATGCTGTGTCATGTCCTAAGCAGACCTTTGAATAATATTCTTTAGATGAAAACAACCCCACTTCTCTTTAACAAGCATATTTAATTTAATTTCTTCCCCCTTCTTTGTCCTCAGGATGTTTTTGTTTGAACAAAAACTGTTTCTTGAGTTGTTGTTAACACAGTCACTTGAGGCCTCTGCTGAATTAGGGCATCTGAAACAATATATTGAAAAATTTAACATTCCCTGTTCAGTTCTGTTGGGATCCCTTGGATTATTTTCAGTTCTGTGATTGCATGATTTGCCACTTGGCCTCAATTAATTACTCTGGCTGTGGGACCTCTGGCTTAACTCCTGTCATTCGTGCTGTCAAGTGGGTTTCCTGTTCTTTTGGTACCTCTGGGTTTTTTTTTTGTTGTGTGGGTTTTTTTTTTTTTAAAGACTTCCACAGAGAGAGATTCGAAGGCCAACGTGTAACACAGACACCTGTCATTCGTGCTGTCAAGTGGGTTTCCTGTTCTTTTGGTACCTCTGGTTTTTTCTTTTGCGTGTGTTTTTTTTTAAGACTTCCAAAGAGAGAGATTCGAAGGCCAACATGTAACACAGATGGGTTTGTGGATTTGGACCACAGAAACCTAATGTCCAGCTGTGGGTCAGGGAACTGGGGAAACTGAGGCAGAGAAAGCTCAGAAGAGACATAAGGAGAGGTGAAGTTGCTGCCCAGTGCACAGAGCTGGGATGGGATCCTGAGCTGGCTTACCTGGACAAGCCAGAGTATCAGACAAATATAAATCCATCCTATGTGTCATTCTGGAAGCATCACTAAAGTTTTTAATTTTTTTTTTTTAAAGGTGAGGGAAATGTGAGTGAAAAAAGATGATTCTGTGGCTGCAGTGAAGTAAGTGTGTTAAGGAATGTGATGTCCATTGAGGGGGCTGGACTCTGATCCAAACCTTCTCACATTCCTCATCATCTGTAAACGTGAGGCAGTCATTGCATGCTGTTACTCCGTAGGGAAAGCTGCAAGAAATGTGTGTTTTTACATTGACACCTTATCCAAAATAGTGGATAAACACTGAAAGAAGCTAAAAACAAGAGCTGACCAGTGTTTCTGGGAGATCACGTTTAGGAGAAGCCTTTAAATACAGACTCTTACCCTAGTTTCTTTTTTGCCTTTTCTTCCCTGTTCTGTTTTTCCCTTTTTCGATGTGTGTGCTTGTATTCCCTGTGTCATGGAGTGAATTTTTTCCCACAAGTGCTATCTTGGCTCCCAAATGTCATTAAATACTGATGGATGTGTGCTGATGATGTATAGATGAAAATGTCTTTCTTCATTTAAGTCTTTTATCTTTTCAGATCTCTCGCGTGCATAGAATACAAAATGTTTCAGGTCTTACTTCATCCAGCTGCTTTGCCTGTGCCTCTCAAGCTTCAAGCCTGTTGGATTAGGGCTGGCTTGTTGCTTTACATTTCTTAGGCTTTAGAATGTTTGGATAATTCTCTCTAGTTATGTCTGTTGTTCTAAGACTATTTTTTCCCTTAAATTCCTTAAATAACTCTTTGTTTCTGTCTAATTCTCTTTAATTCTTCCTTTAGCCACTTTGAGCTCCCCACTATTCCAAATAAAACTTCCTCAGATTTCTACTGGGGTGCCAACTGCGTTTTCATTCTCTGATTTCTTTGTAGCTCCTTCTTAAGCAATGTGTCTGACTTCTTTTTTTGTCTGTCATGCGCTTTATATTTTGATTTCATGTAAGTGGGTTTGTGTCTATGTGTCTGGCTATAATTTATTAAAGACCTAAACTTGCAGTTTGTGACTGTGGATTCTCTTCTCCCTTTGTTTGCTGCCTTTTCTGCTTCCTTGGAGTTTTGAAGTACGGCACAAAAACTTGTTTCCCTTTCCATCCTTTTGTGTTGAGAAAGTCCTGGCAAACATCTGAATTACTGAAATCTCCCAGGAGTCATGCCCCAGTTGTCATGCTGAGCTTGCTTTCTTATTTTTCTTTGTCACTTTTTTCCTGGGTTTATTTTTATTTACACACATAGAGTGAGGCTGGAAGAGGCCATTGTAATCTTCTAGTCTAACTTTGAAGAGAATCCAAACAGGAGCATCTTCTCCACCAGTATCTGCTTTCCTTTGTATGTCTCTGTGAAGTCATTTCATACTCTCTTCCTCATTCACAGAATGTGATTCACATTAGTTCTCTTGATGTTTGCCTCAGCTGAAGTTTTTTTCCTCTTTATAAAGATAATGACCTTTCCCTTTGTTCCCTACCAGATATTTCTTGCACACTACCTCTGCTTGCGTTCCCACTTCAGTCATGACTCACTCATTTATGTCTTTCTAAGGTGCTGCCGTCATAACATCTCTTCAGTGTAAATGAAACAACTCATTTGCCATCAGATCTACTGGCATTTATTTAGAAGCTCCAGAAAAGCCATCCCCTGGTGCAGTCTGTCTCTGGGGAGGGAGGTGGGAAGCAGAACTGGCAGGAGCAGCCACCCAGAGCTCCCTCTTGCAGGGGAAAAGGAAATTTCTTAATCGCTGGGGGAAGCAAACAACCTGTGTAGCTGTGATGCCATTGCTGGGGGAAGCAAACAACCTGTGTGGCTGTGATGCCAGACAAAGATTTCTGATGTGGGCCTGCTGACCAGTGTGTAGAACAGTGGTTCTGCAGACCATATTCCCCCCTTAATCTGCTTCCAGCCCTCCTAACCCAACTCTGCCATCCTCAAAATGCTGTCACCTCTGTGTCTGCCAGGGAGAGGATAAAGCTTCTGCTTAATATTTGTCCTCTACTATAGGCTGCGTGGTTTTCTTCCTAATTAGCATCCTGATAGCACTTAGGAAACACATACTTGTGAAAGACATACTTGGTGGTGTGCCTTTACCTACAGCTTTGTGTTGGTGTGGGCAGCTGGACTTAACTCCAGGGAGCTGGAGAGGGACTGGTTGTGTCTGATCTGTATCTAGTGTAAACTTGTGCTGGAACCCAGAGCCAAATATTACATTTAATTTCCACAGTAAATTTCTCTGCCTCCAGCAATGTGAATGATGCATAAATTAGATTGGTTACACTTGTATCTCATAATTAATCAGTGTAACTTTTAAGAGGCATTACCCTAAGCCTGTAACCCTTGTCTGCCTGCTCTCAAGATTTAAAGAGGGAAGAGTATTTACAGGTGATACTGGTTTGGGGGGCTGTCAGACTGCCTGCAGTTACAGCCAGTTTGATGCTGCCTGGGACTCGGTGACCATGTAGAACCTTCATTGCTCTTCTGTTTTCTCAGCTCAAGTGTGAGTGTTCCCCCAGGAGGAGGGGGGACAGTTTTGAGTGCTCCTCTATAGACAAGTAAGTTTTTGCATTTTTCTCTTTCGGGCAGTGTCTGCTGTTGCCTTTAAAAGTATCACTTAAAACTTTTCGAGGGGCAGAGGAATTGCTGTAGAAGTGAATGTATATTTAATGGTTGGCAATATTTCTTCTAGTGAGGATCAAAGGCAGTGCCTTTGCTTTGCAAGATGGGGAAATTGATCCTTTTTCCCATATGCTGAGAAATGGTGGTTATTTGCATGTTCTCTTTGAATCTTTTTAGCAGTGAGAGGGTGGAGAATGTGGGACTAACAAAACTGAAGGTCCAAAAGAACATATATTTGTATTTTTTTTTTTAAAAGGAAGTTAAATTACCCTTCTGTAGAAGTTGGGGTAGTTCTGTTAAACGCTGTCATGAAAATAGGTGTGTGGGTTTGTGTGTTTGCAGTCTTCCCACCGTCTTTAGATAAATTTGTAGAGCTTTCAGCCTGGGAACAGTGGCCTGAGTTTCAGGCTGACCCTAGAGCTGATAGCTGAACTTGAAGTTACGGTGTTGACACAGGTTTCCAACAAGGTATTCGTCTCAGTGTAGGAAATGATGCTGAAAATGTTTAATGTTCTGAAATGGTGGTGGCCAAAATAAATGTGTTTCAGTTCCTTTCCAAGGTAGCTGTTAAACAAATAGCTCTGTGCTCGTGTGTAATCAAGTCCCTGTTGATGCTTGGCATTCTGTTGTTTCCCTCTGTCTGAAACCCTGAAAAATATTATTTCTTTCTCAGATTCCCTTTTCAGTCATCTTCATCTGGCTTTTCTAGGCTTTGTATCGTAGCTATTATCTTTCCAGCTATGAATACCTACAGTTCTTCAGGGTGTCTTTTATTGATTCATTGCATCACTTTGGATCTCTGCAACTGTAATCGTCTGGTGCTTGAAGAGTGAGAGGAGATGTGTATGTTTGCAAAGCACGTTGAACACATTTGAAAGGCAATTTTTAAAAAAATTAAATTCATCTTTTCAGATATGTCCTGCTACTTCTTATAATCTACTTCAGCATGATCAGAAGCATTTTTTTGAAGCTACACAGGAGCAGTTTAACTTTGAGCTGTAGCTTAGATTATTGTGCAGAACCAGAAACCAATAAATGAAAATACTCTGCTTCTGAAGCTTGAGTAAGTTGTATTATGAGAGCTGCTCTTGCATGAATGTGAGATTACCTGTTTTCTGAACAGTCCTCTGAAGCTTTTTGGATAACTTCTGTGGGAGGAGGAGGTCTGAAAAGCTCATACTATGTCCTCTTGAGTAGCTTGTTACTTTATGTATTTTTAAAGGGCCAATAGCCAGATTTGGGTATGTTTATTAAAATAAGGTGGTGGTTATTCCTTTTAAAATGACACTTTAGTGGAGTTCCCCTGATTTTTAGCTCTGAAGCTCAGAGCAATTGAGGCTGGAGCAATTTTCATTTGCTGAGAGATGGCCATGGGTGTCCTCCTCCAACTTGACCCGGAGGAGGAGGGAGGGATAGATGTGCTTTGGGACCAGGGTGAGGGTGCAGCCGTGTCTCCAGCCTGGCACTGCAGCTCTGACACCACCAGGCGCTGGTGACTTCTCCTGCTCACTCCCCAGCCAGAAAGTGGCTTCAAAGAGTACTGTCCAGCCATGCCCAGAAATTCTTGTTGCTGGTAAGATGGAAGTTACCATTCTTTCCAGGCAGCTCACCTAGTTATATTAGTGTTGTTTGGATTTTGTTAGAATAATGTGAATGGTATGTGGTGCATCGAGAAATGTCAAATTCCAAGATGAGTGCTTTTGCCTGGATATTTTATATCAAAGATATCATTACTTTGGTGCCGGTCAGGTTAATTAACTGTTGCTACTTGATATTTCCAGTATGAAAAAAAAAATAAGACTGCTACTAAGCAGTCATATTTTTAAATACCGTTTAACTGATGCAGAACAAACATGTGCTTTGTGGACAGCAAGGGACATACAAAAGTGTACTTTATTAAATTTAGAGAAATAATTTACAGTCCTGAGAGGTAGCGCTCTGTCCTGGAAAATCTAAATACTAATCTTTTTAGCTTGGTCTGGAGCTCAGCAGAAGTGTTTGGCTTGAATTGGATGAAGAAATGGATTGAATTTTCATATGTAAAACTTCTTACTCCTTGGTTTTCTTTTACAGCGGTTTAGAAATTGGGGAAAAGAAAGTTTGGCTCTAGTAACCCTAAGAATTGTAATTGTTCTTCTAAACAGACTTTTATGGCCTTATTAAACATGAGAAGTACACAGGAACTCATGGTGAAGAAGTTTTAATAACAAATGTTGGGCAAGATAAATATTAGTGCTGCTATTTGAGCGCTTCACAAATATTGGAAATTTAGTCATCTTTGTGCAGAAGGGAAATGCCTTCAAGAAGGGATCCAGGTACACAGTGTCTTACCCCCAGCACATGGAGGAAGACTCTGGCAATTCTCCCTGTCACATTTGAACCTTGGGAATAGCACTCCTGTGCTTTATTCATAGTACCTTAATCTTTTGGGCATCTATACAGCAAACTGGGGGAGGTTTGTAGCTGTAAAGTAAATGTTAGTGTTGTGAACCCACATGCTAGAAAGTAATATTTTTACTTGGGAGGCTGTGAAAACTGAGAGCCAGCTTGGGACAGTTATTAAAGGTCATAGTTAAATAATGATAAAAGCTTTTCATGCTTTTTCCTACTTTTTTTGTTCTCTTTTCCCAGGCATCGATTTTGGACTTGCACTCTGGAGCTCTTTCATTGGGGAAGCATTTTGTTAATCTGTACAGGTAAAATGGGACTGTGACTTGTTGCCTGTCTTGTCATCCTACACCTCAGTGCTCATTGCCTTTCCAAATTTCTCAAGCCCATTTTGTAATGAAAAACTGGAGAAGTTACTTAGATTCACCACAGTTTCCATGACCAGTTAAAAAAAAAACTTCTGTGGCATGAAAACTGATCTTTTATTGAACTGGGCTCTTTGAAAGCTACCATTACCTTTATTTTCAGAGTTCTTGCACCAGTGAATAATGTGGTTTGTTTTTTTCATGGTTAGTCTAGTTTGTCAGCAGTGGAAGAAATCAAATAGTCTGAACCCCATGTGCTTATTTCATGATGGGGGGGATGACTCTCTTTTCATGCCTGGGGAATTCCATTATCACTTGCTGCATCTTGATCCTTTAATCTTTTAACATTTAATCTTTGAGCAATGCTTTGGGAACATCATGCTCGATAGCACTTGTAGGACTTCTTTGTATTGTGTTTTCATTTCTTGATTGTGGGTGCAGCACAGATGGCTGTCTATTTTGGCAACTCCTCTTTTAGTCTGTGGTTTAATTTTTCAGGTACTTTGGGGACAAAATTCAAGACATCTTCACAGAAGAGGATTTTGCATTATATCGGTAAAGATTTTTCAGTATCTGCTGGATGAACCACAAAACCTAACTTTATGGTTTGGTTTTTTTTTTGTAGAGTGCAGGTTGAGAGAGAATTGTGCTTTGGATTCAGATGTGCAATTGAATTTGGAGCTCAAAATAGTAATCGCTGTGAGAATTAAGGTGCCTAAGGAAAAATAAGTAAAAGAAACTTTTGGTGGCTACCTGATAAATCACATTTGCTGCTTTGAACTCAGCTGCATGGCCAATGTCAGGACAGTAGTGATGGTGTAAATGTAAGCAGAATGATGGTAGCAGCACACATTGCCCTTTCTGCAGGAAGGGTTGATGCAGCCCTCCAAGTTCTGTGGGGGTTTGTTGGAACACTGTAACTGGGATATAAAACCCTTTAGCACTAACTCCTATTTCACACATTATCCAAGTGGTGTTGCATTAGATGATAAACACAATTCCATGCCATTGTTACATTAGGACTTTGGGTTTTTTTGGGTGAAACGTAGCAAAGCATTAAAAATGGTAAAGCAGGAAGTGGAAGGACTTCAGATTACTAATGTTCTGGCTGGAGAAGCAGAGCATACTTTCCTCCCAAGAAGCCAGAATATGAAATAGCGCTATAATGTAATAGCTTTGGCATCTGATGCTTTTAGCTTTCCTGTAGACCTGCTCATATACTTAACGAAGACAACAAACGTAATGAGTTCCATGTGTCTGTGAAGGTGTGTGGCCAAAGTTTAGGAACAAGCATTCTTTGTTGACTAGACACAATAAATCTGTAGTTAAGCATTTCAGTTGCTTTCTCGTAATTTAAAATGTACCTGGCTTGAACATTTTAACTCTTTTTGTCTTGTCATCTTGCCTTTGCGAAGGAATAGGACCTCCCTCTAGTGGAAGTAATATTAAGTAGCCAAATAGATTTATTAGTGTTATAGTAATTTTGTCTTAAAATATTAACCACTTAAAGCTTATTTCTATTCAGAACTATTTCTAGATACTGTTGTCTTTAAAGATGAATTGCTTTAAAATGTGTTTACTTCTGCTCCCAAAATCACAAAAATGATACTTCCTTGATTGTTATTGAACTTTGAGTGTATAAAGAAAGCACATAATTTCTGCCTCACCAAGATAGTGGAGAATATTTTTAAAATAGTCTTTGTTTTCCCATGCATTCTGTAGAACATCAAAGAACCTGTAGAAATGACATGAATATATGGAGGGGGGGTGTCTTAGTAAATAATATTTGTTTCACACGAACAGCAACATTCAGGTTATAATAATTTTTATGAATTTCTGATCCTTACACTGAGACAGCTTCAAGGCAATATCAATATTCCATTGGTTTTCAGGCCAATACAGGGGATGTTTCAGTCTGTTGGATATGAATCTAATACAAAATACATTATTAGTGCTTCTGTTCATATTAATGGCAGTGCTTTAACATGGACTGTAGTACCTTATGTCCTTAATGAATGATTTTATGCTATTCTTGGGAGCATTTATCTTCATTACTTTCACTTGCTTGCCAGGGTCAGTTTAAAAATACATTTACTTATTTCTCTCAAGAGCGTAATTCATGTTGAAGTATTACTGATAGCAACAATAACAAATCTGAGTAGGCATTCTGAGCCAGGAGGCTGGTTTTGAAACTGTCTCTGTCAAAATTATGTTGCTTCAGAATCAATTATGGTGCTTTAACCACCATCTGCCAGGCACATTACAGCAATTCCTCTTCTTTCACATAATGGATGCATCTTTATCCCGAAGAGAGACCTTTAAATCTGGATGCTTGGTTTAAGGGTTGTGACTTCAGTGGCAAATGACACTATCAAAGATTTGTTCCCAAACTCTTACAACTTACAAAGGTAGAGGAAGAGCTGATGGTTTGCTTTCTCTCTTTATTCATTCTGCATGTGTAATTTCTGTTAAAACTTCCCAGCTGTAGGAAAGCACTGTCTGCTTCTCTGGGGTACTTTTCTCTGGAGCGGTGCAGAGATGCTGACAAGTAGGCTGGAGAAGTTGTGTGGTTTTGCAAAGCTTTGAGTGTTCCTGTCACCATACTTGAATCACACTTTGCAAGTGACTCCTAACGGTGCATTTTTTTGCTGGTTGGCAGAGCTTGTGTCTTACAGAAACTTCTGTGTGGCTCTTTCAGTTCTCTACTCAGTGCTTTATGCTGCTGCTGATACATTAAGCTGGCAACTTCCAATCTAGTGAACACCCTTTCTTTTAAGTTATATATTCCTTAAACTTCTAACTACTTCATTGGCTTTATTTCTTTTCCTTCATCATTACCCTGACTCTGAAAGAGATTTCAGTAACTGCTTTTATCCAAAGTGAAGATTTGCTTTTCTTGGGGAGTTCTGTTCTGCCTTTCCCTGAGTTTCGTGTGTGCATTTTGATGTTTCCAGTGATTCAGTTCAAACATGCACAGGCTGTTGCTATAAACTTGCTCCCTGGACGTGAGGTATTGTGGTGTGTCTATATTATGTGTTATCACAGCACAAAGGATAAATACCTGTTTTTTGAAGCCTAGGTCAAGACATTACAATCAGTGGGGCTTTCTGAAAGCTTACTATTTGTTTTCTTGAATGGCAAATTAAGTGCTTAAGACTCATGTTTGTCTGCTACATACACCATGATTTGAGTAAGTTTTGAGTAAGTCTTGAGTAAGTTTTCAAGGGATGCTGTGATAAGCAGGATGACAGCCCATAGCAAAGCAAAAGGCAGGAGCACATAAGTCAACTAAAGAAATGCAAGGTTGGGACCTCTTGCACTTAAGAAGCTGCTTTAAGTAAAAGTTATGCTGGAGGCAATAGCACGCAGGGAGATAAGAGGCCAGCAGTATCCTTACACACCCAAACCCCAGCTGCCTGGATCAGCTGTGGGCAGCTGCTGCCATCACACCAGGAGAGCACCTAAGGTCATGCTTTTGGACCTCAACTGCTTCATTACTCTGCTTTCCTATTCAGTGCTTCCCCTGCCCACTTGCTTTATAAACAGGAAAAAACAAACTTATCTTCTGAAAGATACGCTTATTTTTCCTTTGCAGCATATTAGACTGAGTTTATTTTCCTTTTCTTTTGATAACCCATTGGCCAGTCCAAAACAGGTAGACTTTTGGCTGCTGTTTTTGTCTATCAGGAGGAGTTGAGTAGAGCTTTGCCTTCTGCTTGGTTTGGGCAACACATGGTCTTGCCCAGTGTCAGTGCACGTGAGTCTCCGAGGAGTGAAGCTTTAACAGAACCTTATGAACACCAGACAGCAAATCTTAATAGAAAGCTTCTTTTAAAAGTGGAAAAGGAATCATCCTGGAAGAGGAAGTAGTGCTGCTCAGAGCAATACAGCTACTGGAGATTTAAAGCTGTGTCAGGACCGTGGCTCAACTGCTTCAGGGTAGCTCTGTTCCAGCTGGCTGGTGCCAGTGCTTGCCCAGTGTCAGAGCCAGGGAAAATGCTGCTTTAGTGTTTGTGAATTAAGCTATTAATTCTTGTGTGGGGCTGTTTGAAGTGCCAGCTGCCCTCAGTTCATCACAAAGTGAAATGAGTAATTACATTCAATGCTTTTTTGGAAAACACAAGGCAATCTCTGCTGAAGTCCTGTTTCTTAGAAAGAAAAAAAGACAGATCAGGTTCCCACTGGCGCGAGGAAGGACCTGTAGATCCTTTCCTGGTGTCAGTTTTACAAATTTTACCCCTGTGTAACTCTCAACTTGAAACCTCAGTTCATGCAGCTGTTTAAATACCCGAAGACCTTGCCTCTAACTTCATTGAATGGTTTTGATACTTCACATGTAAAATAGTTTGAATTGACTCCTCAAGTTTAGAGCCCTAAAAATGTCAAGTGAAACAGGTTAAAAATCAAATCTGTATGTGGGGGTTTTTTATTTTTGATGAGGCACAAGATGTGAATAGAATGAATATTTAGGATTTTTTTAGTACTTACAGAAATAGTTTTTAAGAGGTGACTTTCGCAACCTAACACTGTAGGATTGGCTTTAGTTCTGTCACGTCTTTTTAGTCACTGTTTAAGTTCCTTAGAGAAATACTTGGGGAAACACCTGGAAAATTATGCTGAAGTTCAGTGCTACCCAGTGGAGAAATGTCTGCAGAAAAGATGCAAAACTACTAATGTTATTCCGTGTATAACTTCAGAAGTGTGTTTACTCAGTATCTTATTTGTGTGCTGCTTTTGAAGCAGCTGGCAAAAAAGGAAGACTAATACAATAGCTAAGCATGTGTTAAAATTAGGATAAAACAGTATAAAGATTTTAAGGATTTAAGGACATAGAGGATTGCATCTTAAAAAACCACCAATGTTTTAATTTCAATCTCGTGTTATTGTGTTCTTTGCTGTCTCTTAAATTCCCTCAAAGTTAAATACTAGCTGTGTGTGTACTGGTGGGATTTGCCAGTGGTATTCCAGTGGTATTCCTCATGAATCACAAATTTCTTCTCTTTAAAAGTGCCTGAACCATGGCTGGCAGTTCTTGATGGCCCTGCTCTTGCCCTGAATACAGCGATATTTGTCCTGAAAGATGGATGCTGCTATATAAGCAGTTCTGTATAGTGACACATGTCATTGCTAATCTCCTGTTTTAATTACCTTAAAAACAAAAATCCTGTTCTTCCCGTCTCCCAAGAAACACAGGAATAGCCATGATAAAAATAGTTTTGTTGAATCTTTTGAAAATAGCTGGGAAAGATCTCTTGCATTCATTTTTAAGGAGAACCTGGTTATGCCAGTACATAGGTTTACTGAGAACCCGGAGTTTCATGGTGCCAGGGACTTCATTGGTTAGTTTAAAATTAGTGTAAAAATAGTTGAAGGTTCTTAAAAGGCAACCCTTCATGAAGATAAAACTTTCTAGTTACTGGCTTTGGATTAAGAATATATATGTGAAAGAGTTTAATCTTTTCAATAGTTCATAAACAGTGAGAGATGCATGGAAGTTTTCAGGAAAACAGACTGCTTAACAAAGAAATTCTGAAATCTAGTCCAAGGGAGACAAATAGTTTATTTTTCTTTATATTCTGAGACTTAAAAAAAACCCAAACAACACAACAAACCCCAACCCAAAACACTGGTGGGGTCTCTTTGTTGATGTAGTAGATCTCCTTCATGAAGGCAAAATGAGAGAAAGTCTGGGTGTATGTCCCCTCGGATTTATCAGCTGAGGAAGAAGCTGAGCTCCAAAGCAGCAGGAACAGTGAATGAAGGAGAACAGGGAAGCAGCAGGAGAGGTGTGTCACTAAGCCTGCTGTGTTGGGTTGTGTCCTTTGCAGTGATGTGAGACAGAGGATTCAACAAAGGATTGCTCAGGCCTTTGGTATCAGCTCTGCTTCCATGTACCTGACCAAGCCAACGTTCTTCTCGAGAATCAACAGCACAGAAGCCAAGACAACGCACGATGAATACTGGCACCCACACGTTGACAAGGTAGGTAGGAGGCTGAGATGGGATGCAAATGTTTCCCGTTATTATTAGATTGTTTTGAAGTCATTTTACATTAAACAATCAGTCAAACATGTTTGAAAAATGGTGCTTGTAAAAATCCTTTGGAGGATAAACTTCATGGAAGGTTAAGTGAGTTTTAGAAACATAGGGCATTACATTCCTTTTTATTTTATTTTCTCTAACTCTACTAGAATTAATAAATTGTGTGAATGACTACTCAGAATGATTACTCTCTTTTATCAGAAACATTGATTAAATTGACCTTTACCTATGAAGTGCATTTCCAGTTAGGGTATCGCTCTTCCAGCCAGGTCTAGCAAGAGCTATTTCAAAGCAGTCTGTTAGTTGATCTGAGCCTCTTGATAAATGTTTAACATTTATATTTCATTCATATGTGAATTGATGCACTTTTACCGCATGTTCTTCAATGAGTATATGGTACCCTCTTTCAATAATTTGATGTTTTGTTGGTTTTAGAACAGAAGTATTGTGACTTTGAACTTCATAGTCATCTATCTGTAGGCTCATAGATTAATACTTTGCATTTCTCAATGAGCTTACATGATTTGGGATTGGTATTGAGTTTTGAACTCTGTTAAATTCAGAAACAATGTTTCATACAGCAGGTTAGCAGAATGCAAACTAACAATTGAGGAATCAAACGGAAAAAAACCCCAAACAATGAAAAAAAACAACCAACCAACCAAAACAAAACCAAAACAACCCTCACCAGAATACCCACACTTTGTGTCTTCAGGATTTAAAAATAAGACTCACTCTGGAGTCATGGATTGCCCAAGATGGAACCAAATAAAATTTACCCCATCAAAATCTAAGTTATACCTTGGTGCTGGAGTCTGTATGTGGGCAGTGTACCTTGAAGTCTATAACCTGAAACATCTAAGATGAAAAATCAAAGAAATACTTCTCACCTTGAAAATATTTCCTGGAAAAAGTCAGTCTAAGGGAAATACAGCGTCTGTTGTTACTCATAATATTAGTGTAAGTTCCTCTGCCCTTTCTTGTCTTGTGGGCAGAAGCAGCTTAAATTTAGAAAAAGTGGGGACAGTGATAACTAATACGGCTGCTGTTTGAAGGAAGAAAATTTGCAGTCACAAAGTCATCTTTTGGATGCTTCTTGTTGCAAAAGCTGCAATGTAACCCCCTGAACAGGAGTGGACCTAGGAGCAGAGGCTGTTTTGATGTGTACATTGATTTGACTAGTGCTGGTGGGAACTGGTTGTAGGGAGCAGATTGTGCTGGGTGGGGTTCATAAGAATTCCATCACGTGTTGCCCTCGTTTCCAAGAGATTCCAAATAAACTAGTGATTCTGGTTGTGTGAAGTGTAATAAATCCATAGGTTCCTCACAGTGTTTCCACACTTTCAGAGAATTGAGTTTGACTGCAAAGGAAGCAGTAAATTTCAATAGCTGATGGCTATTTTCTCCACTTTTTTCTTTCAGTCCAAAGAAAGTGTATTTTAGAATTTCAGACTGATTTATTAATATAATGAGATTTGTGTCTGCTCAAGCATTAGGTGTGCCAATATTCCCTTTATTTTGTGCATGCATTTTGCATTGGTAAATGAATAAGGCGCTTGGATAACCTTACAGTTAAGTGTTTCTACTTAAATTTATCCTATAACATATGAATTATTTTGTCATTTAGAAGCAAATCTTTCCACGAAGATAACTTATTTCCTTTGTAGAAGCTGTTTCTCTGTTATGCCATCCTGACACTGCCTGTACATGATGGACAGCAGGCTAGATGTTTTGCTGGTTTTATCCATTTTTTTGTCCACATTTTGTTTATCTCACAAGCTGTCTGTTCAGGGAGCAGATACATAAACTGATTGGCCTTGGCTTTTTTTTTTTTTACCCACCCCCAGCTTCAAAACACAAAACAAACACAAAATGTGGTCTCTTAAACTTGCTATGCATAACCTAGAACTTAATAGTTTCTATACTGAATAATTGAGTCTGATTTATGACAGCAGTGAAGAGATAATTATCCCAGTTGGGGCAGTTACCAAACACCTTGTTTGTAATGATGTAGAACTTGGCCCTCCTGCTGTAAAATATAAAAATGTGACTTACACTAAATTTCAGGTATTTTTTTTCAGAGAGAAGTATTGTTTAGATCACACTGGGAGTTAAAACTGTAGCTTATTCTGTTTATATAAGTAGCTTGAACACTTCTGTAGCAGTGGATTTCTGCAGTGAGTTGTCTGTATTGAGAAACCTAAAGCAGTCAGACCATCGAAGTGCTCTTTGGCTGTGCCTTAAGCTTCTGTTTCAGGTTTGAGTGTATTTTAATATGGTTATTTGCCTTGTTCAAGAGCGTCCTTGCTGTAAGGATTGCATATGAGTGTACCAAAGCTGGGCCACTATCTGTGCTGTTGTGACAGCAACATTGTGAGGCTGGGAGCCTTGTCTGGATGAGTTCCCTTTCAGTTTTTTGGGGGGGAGCACAAAGGAACAGAACTTCCCTGGCCCCAGCCACAGAAAAGGGGCTTTGTGGGTACTGTGGAATAGAGACCTAGAGCAGACTTGCTGTAACTGCTTCTTGAGCTCGTGGTTTGTGGGTCCATTTATGATTCTTTGGCCTTCCCTAGGAGTAAATGCTGTTGCCAGGGCAGAGGGTGTTGAAGAGATCGACAGGACACGGTGTCTGGGATCACTTGTGTGGGAACTGCCCCAGCTCAGTGGCTCATCCTCCTCTAGGGTAAAGAGCTTCACCTGCTGCCAGATCATACAGTTACTCCTAGGGTTTAAATGACAGCAGTTTGCATTGCTTGGTTGAAAATTCAGAGTTTGGACAAGGCTAATGATGCCTTAAATAGGCTCTGACAGAGGTAGATCCTAGATCACTTCATGAAAGTCCAAATTACATCATCATGTGTCATTGCTACTGGACACTGGCTGCCTTCACTCTGGTACTTCACTCACTTGAATTGGCATCAAGGGATTAATTTGAATCCTTTCCTTGTTGCACAAACAAGCTTCTGATTCCTCTCTCTTCTCTAAATCATGTTTGTGTGTCAAAAGGTCTGACACTATTTTCCCCTTAAGTGCAACTGGAGCAGAGCCATCTGGATGTAGAATTCATGTATGTGTTTGTCAGGTCGTGGCTCACAGAAAATGTTAGTTTGTGTAGAACATGTCTGCATATATTGTTAGCCTACTGTAGGTGTACATCATGTATATCTTATCTATATTGTTACATGCTCAGAAAGAGGTAAAACAGTTTTTATAGGCTATGCAGGAGACTGAATTCATATAGAAGGTGAGTAGGTCAGAGAATACTCTGGAGAAGTCGAAATAGGATAGAGAAGTTGTGTAGCTTCACAGGTTGTCTTCAGTGCAGCCAGCCTGCCTTGCATTTTAATTTCTCCAACAAACTAAGTTCCACTGACCACTTGCAGACTGCAGTTGAAAGCAAGATTAAAAAAAAAAGGCATTGCTATTGATCTGAGGTAGGAAATACTTCTCAGATAAGAGAAGTTATGTGACCTCCAAAATAAATGTGAATACTAGGGAGTTGAAGAAAGATCAATAAAACTCAGCATGCTAAAAAATTTTGCCAGTTTGTTGGATGCTTTTGTGTTTTATCATTATTTATACTTTTCCCTTGGAGTAGGACAAATCACTTTATATATTTCTGCATAATAACTGAACAGCGAAGGTTGTTCCTAGAAGACTTCAGGATTTTTTTTTCCCTGACTCTTTCCAAAACAAAGATAAAAATCAAGCCTTTGAAAAATGAGTCTGACACATTTTGTTTCGAAGTCTGACACTGTTGGTTCAAAGATGTAGGCTTCTTGGAGCACACAAATAACCCTCTTGCCTTTTTCCCTGGATTGCTGAGTCTGTTGCAGTTAGATTTTTCAATCTGGATGTCCTTGGTTTGGAATATTTTAACTGCATAATAGAGTAGCACAGATACGTTGTGTTTCTCTGAGGCTTAGTTTTTTCCCTAAAATTTATTTGGTTTTTATTACATAGGAATGGAAACCCTGAAATCACCCAAATGACTCATTTAATCTTGTTGAATTTATAAGCATCTAAATCAAACAAAGAGTGTTGGCTTAAGATGTGGAGTTTCATCTTGATGGAATTTGTTGGGAACTGAGCCTTTCAAATGTCTGATTTATTGTGGAATTGCTGTTGCACGCTCAACTCTGACAGCAGTATGGACTTACGATGTTCTCTGATAAAGTGATGCAGGACTTGAGTATTTCTGCAGTCCCCTGCCTGGGCGAGGATCCTGTCATCCTTCACAGAACTGTCAGGCTCCACTATAAGATTACTTATAGTTTGTTTTCCTTGAATTTCTTCTATCGGAACTACTCCAGGACTTCGGTGCAAATTTTCTTGATTTTTTTTTTTTTTTTTTACTGGCCTTCTACCCACAAATTCAGGGAACTAGGTGTAGCATTGCCAAACGGAAGTTTTATATGCAATCCAGAAAGACCTAGGCATGTTTGGTTTTTTTTCTTCATG